ATTTTTTTGTTCTATTTGAGGCATCTCAGCTGATCTTTGGAGAACGGAGAAGTAATCAAAACAGACCAAAGAGGAATGGTGGCTTCAGAGATCAGCTGAGGTGCTTCTCCTCAAACAAAGCCTTGCACATTAGTGGCCTTGGCCTGCGACCAATAAGTCCTGAGGGTCGTGGGCTGAAACTCTGAGGAAGTGTCCAGCTTCAATGGAGGGATTTTTAATAATCAAAATTATGCACACTGATTACATTTTCCTTCTGCTGAGTTCCTCATAAGCAGTTGCAAACAGATGTAGGTGATTTTAAAAGATTTTATTGATTAGTATCTGTGTTGCAGCTGCGCAGTTGCATGGAAATGTGCCCCCTATAATTGTCCCTCACAGTAATTTAAAGAGAATACTTAATTCAATAGAATAAATGTTTAAATATGTGATTATATTCAGATTTATTGTCTATATTTTGATATTGTATCTTTTTAAAGAGGTCACAAAAAATAAACGGAGTGTTTCTTGTGGCTGGTGATAATGTAGACAGTGTGGGTGCACATGCTTTGTCGTGCTTCTGTGTTTTTAATCAGAGGACTCTGCAGAGGATTCAATCATATGAGAAGAGAAGAGACACAATCAGTTTTAATTTCTTTTCAAAGGCAAACAATATGAACCAAAGATTTTATTTCCTAATCCTCACCGCTGCATATTGGCCCAAAGTTCAGATTATATCCCATCATCGTGTCAACCGTTATTATCAGTGTTTTAATGTTGTTTTTGTCTTTATAATGCGTTTTTTTTCTGTGAAAGAGCATTCTGTAAACAGTCTTTATTTCTGATTTGATTTTTTTGCGCTTTTTAAATCAGTTGAAAATGTTGTTTCACACAAAAAAAACAGTTTGTTTTAATTCCAATTTCTTTGTATTTCATGTATTTATGAGGCTTAAAGGACCCAACTTTGGATCTGACAACCTTTGACTTTTTTCTAATTCCACAGCTCTATAAAGCAAGTTATGCAGTCACAGAGATAACCTCCTTGTTTCAAACAAATAAATAACTGTTATGTATCCACAGAGGTCATAGTTGGGTCCTTTAAAGCATATGTAGGTGAACAAGTGCTACCTCAGATGTTTGATCTGTCCTATTTTAGTTTTCAGTGCAGAACGTTTGCTGCTCTTCATCCCATTAAAGGTATTATGTTGGAATGATGTTCCTGTCCGAGGAAGTGAATTTAAATGGAAAAAACTCAGTGACCCGCTCTCTTTTCCCTTTTTTCTGATCGTAGGAGCACTGTGGGTCATTTACAGTCTCACTCAGGGGGACCCACAGTCACTCCTCAATCAGAAAAATAAAATGGTCTCAAGCTTTGAAATTGAATGTATTGTTTTCTAATTAATATGCTATGTGATATTTACAGTTGTTTTGTTATGTTTGTCATTAAAACTACTTGCAAGTTGTTTCTTTTTGGGAAATTATTTAGAAAGAAGAGTTTAGACAATTGCCTTACTATCAAAAATTCTGATTCTCAGTTTAAATAAAATTATGAAAATCCCTAAAGAGAGTTGTTTTTATTTACTTTTTTTGGCATTTGATTAGTTATTTATTCATCAGTGATCAGTGAGGTTAAGAAGTATTTCCCCCTTATGTGGTCAGATGAGACCAAAATAGAACTTTTTGGTTTTAATTCCACTAACCCTGTTTGGAGGAAGAATAATGATGAGTACCATCCCAAGAACACCATCCCTACTGTAAAGCATGGTGGAGGTAGCATCATGCTTTGGGGTGGGGGTGGGGGGTTCTGCACATGGGACATGTGACTGCACTGTATTAAGGGGAGAATGACCGGGGCCATGTATTGCGAGAATTTCGGGAACAACCTCCCTCCCTGTTGGAGCATTGAGGATGGGTCGAGGCTGGGTCTTCCAACATGACAATGACCCAAAGCACACAGCCAGGATAACCAAGGAGTGGCTCTGGAAGAAGCATATCAAGGTTCTGGTGTGGCCTAGCCATTCTCCAGACCTAAACCCAATAAAGAATATTTGGAGGGAGGGAGGGAAACCCCATGTTTCTTAGTGACAGCCCAAAAACCTGACTGATCTAGAGAAGACCTGTTTGGAGGTGTGGGCCAAAATCCCTCCTGCAATGTGTGCAAACCTGGTGAAAAACTACAAGAAACATTTAACCTCACACAACATTTATATGCACACAAAGGCTACTGTACCAAATATTCACATTTATTTTCTCAGGTGTTCAAATACATATTTGCAGTTATATGATAAAAATAAATAGTTAAAAAAACATACATTGTGATTCCTAGGTTGTTGTTTTTTTTTTTTTTTTTTGTAACAGTGGACATGCACCTACAATGTCAATTTCAGATCCCTCCATGATTTCTAAGTGGGAGAACTTGCAAAATAGCAGGGTGTTCAAATACTTATTTTTTTCACTGTAACTTTTATTTGTTTGTACTATTTTAGTCAAAATTATGAATTGTCTTTAGCTGCTGAGTTTCTTTTTAGAAAGATCTGTTCATGGATTCAGAAAAAAAAAAGTGTACACAATACAAAAAGCTTAAACACATTTAACAGAGGTTGTTTCTGTTAAATTATATTTAGGGAAGGTCAGAGTACACAGACCCTGAAACAAACAGTAGAAACATTTCATAGGACCACATTGACGGTATGACACTTTAATCCAATGCAAAGTAGTCAGTTTAGAGCTGGCAGAACTAAATTTGCTTTTCCTTCTGAATACCTCAAACACACAGACATGGCTAAACTGCTGAAAACTGAATAAAAATGTCCAAATTGTACTCGATTAGCTATTTCCCACCCCTGGTGTAATGTGACGTTAGAGTTAGAATGTGTTAGGTGTGACTGCTGAGCAGATGTTTTCCATCTGGGCTTAGTGCTCTAGTAGCAATAGGCAGATCAACATGGCACCTTATAGGGAAATACCTCTTATGATGCTACTATTTATAATGCATATGTCATTTTTTTAAATAAATGAATAATAATGAAAAGATTTAAACCAGTCTCTATTTCCTAACTCAATCCTGTTGGATCATTTATGCATAAGGACTTGACAATTGTTGCTCTACATAAAGAGGGCCTAGGCTATAGAAAGAGCCCCAACACCATGAAAACAAGTTGGGACACGATGACCATATAACAACACAGGGTCCACTCACAGCAGACTTCGCCTTAGATATTCAATCCAATTAGATTTATAGTGGTAACAGCCAGATTAGTACAGTTTTTTTTTATCTAAGGGAAACCAGCTGATTGAATTGACTCTTCAGCAATCCCCCACACTAAGCTTGCTTGTGGCAGCAGTGGAGAGATAAACTCCCTTTTAACAGGAAGAAACCTCCAGCAGAACCAGGCACAGTGTGAGCGGCCATCTGCAGAGGTGGAATGGGGTTCAGGGAGACGGATAAACAGATATTGACATAAATGAAATAGTATCTTTGGTATTCCGGTCTATTTAGAACACTTTGATGCTGAGAATCGACATTCGCTTGGAGTAACCTAGGAAAAGAATTAGAGTAGTATTCCCCTGTGGCCCGGACACTGGTGGAGAAATAAGCCAGAGGGTGAGTGGGACTGAGAACAGTCTGATATTTTAAAAAGGAGGTGGGGTTGAGGTGGGTGAAAGAAGGGAGAATGAAGGGGATTATGAAAGATGATTGGCTTTGGAGGAAGTGTGATCCAGATGTTTATTGGCTGAAGCTGAACATCACAGGTGGTTCATGTGACCTCATGTAGAGACATAACTAGTTCTTCCATCAAGAATAAGGGGCTTTTTGATGACTGTATGTTACATTGTTTTTATCCAATGAATAAAAACAGTGTCATTGGATTATCTGTTTGGCATAGCTGATGCTTTGTGCATGCTCTTCACTCTTAATCAGGACTGAGCAAGGAACAGGAACGTTTTGCTGTGTTTCTATTTTAATTTTGTCGTTGTGTCATACTTTTCCTCTCAGTTATCATTCCATTTATCTGAATTACAGTTCATTTCAAATTGACTCTTAGTTTTTTGTACTGTTTTTACTTTACTTATTGTTTTAAAAATATGATTAAAAAACGTAGCCCACAAGCATCCTTATTCACATTTTCCCCTTAAAGTTATAATATATGTTTACATTATTTATTGGCTGAATCTAAAAACATCAAAGATATTTTCAATTTAAACATAAATATTAAATAATACAATACAACCTACAATAACTTAAATCTCAATGTACTAGGTAATCAAATCATTTCAGTTTAGTCTGTCAAATAAGCTACCTGTAGTGTTTTTAAATGTCCAGCAGGTGTCAGTATTCTGCGAGACAGTATCAACGCAGTATCAATACAGTTTGGAAATGTGTGGAAACGCTTCAAGATTCCTCATTAACCTATCATTACTCTTCAGTTACTGATCCTGCAAGAACACGTTCTAGATTTTCTGGAACCGGTGCATGAAAACTGAACATTTTCTGATAACTATTGGAACTGTAATAAAATGCAAAGAAAACATTTTTTTTTAACATAGATTGCAGAGAAATAAGCTGTATTTCAGCACAAATTTTGAATCCAAAAGTTGACCTGAGTATAAAGATCTTGAGTTGAGGTAGCTTGTTTTAAACAAAACTGCTTTTTACCCAACCTAAACTCTTTGGGATTTGTGAAACACAATCATAGATAATACATAATCATGATGTTTTGAAATCGAGATGTTACCAAGAATCAGTTTATTTACTTTTTGCCGTTAGAAAAAATCTTATGTAATTAACCATCCTTATTTTCACTGTAATAATAAATAAAATCATAAACTTCTTCTATCGTAAATACACTATAATTAGATTCAGGCCGTTTCAGTCAGGCTTCCTTGTTTTGTTTTGTTTTGTTTTTTTTCTTAGCCGCAAGATTTGCTTGCTTTTGCGCCATATGGTTGAGCCTGTTTGACCACCGCGCTGCCTCGCGGGAAATGTAGTTGTTTTATGTTTAAAGAACCTCGTTCACCATGACAGTTATACGACTCAAAAACTACACTTCCCTTCCGGATTTCTGCTGCGAATGTTGTTAACGGATAACTTGTGGTTTTTGGCGATCTTGCAACTGTGGAGGAGCTTGCAAACAACACTGTGCGCAAAACACCGGTAAATAGAGCAGATTTTCTTTGTTTCACTGCCTCCGTTGAAGCTAAAATCACCTTTAAAATGTAACGGGCGTTGTCTTCATTGCTATAATTGCATGTTGTGCTCATGTTTTGGGAAGTGACGTTAACAATAAACATGTCTAGCGAGTTAATAAGGCGAAAACGATACGCTGGATGTCGTTATTCAATGTTTAGAACCGCAATGAACGGTTGCCGTAGCCTCTAGCTCCAGAAGCCGCTGATGTCGGATTTTTTTGGCTGTTTTTGTTTGTCAGGCCGCGCTGCTCGGTTCTATCTGGTTGTTGTAATATCGCTTCGTCGCCACTTGTGGTCGCTGTTTCACTCTCCTGCTTGTATTTTATTTAAAAGTTAAACTAAAACTGTACGTTTACATTCTATGCCTATAGTAGTATGCATTTCAGAAACTTTAACCTTTCTTTGTTCTTTAGAGCCTTGATTGTTGCTGATAGACATGTCAGACACATCGAGTGATGCAGAGTCCTCCTGTGGCTGGACCATCATCAGTAATGAGGTAAGATCTTGTAGTTTTTGGCAGAAAAACTTGGTTGTAATGTCCTTCATATTACATCTTATATCCAACGCAAAATTATGTTGTAATTAAATGGTAAATGTTTACAGCTTATATCTGATTGGATATTCACCAATCAGAGCCTTGTGCGAGATATTCCAATTTTGATTGCATTTTAAGAATGTGTCAAGCTATGAGAACTAAATTTAAAATATATTTTCTTAGCCTGCCTATCAGAATTCATTATTAGCTTACATACAAGGCAGAGGTCATGTTATACCTGTGTGTTTGAGGACATTTTCTATAAAACTAAATCATGTTTCCTTTAGGAAGGCAACATAATTATAGGGAGTGTATTTTAAACCAGATCTATTTAAAATGGGCACAGGTTACACAGCTAACTTTACAAAAGGAGAAGTCTATTTGTGTATTACTTAGACAATCTAGATTCTTATTTAAAATTTCCAAAGTTTCCTGTTCCAAGCTTGAACGGAGCAAGAGGGGTAACTTTGCTGTACTCTTTTCAGCCTTCCTGTTTGCTGCTGAAGGTCTTGCTCTCTCTCTAACAATCTCACAGCTCAAATGAAATACTAATAGTTTATCAAAGGCTGATGTTAGTACCACAGGGTAGTGCTTTAAGATAAAACCAAACATATTGAGTCTTTTAGTTTCTGATTAACTGGTCAGGGATGATTACGCTGAATGTCATTAGGTTCTGGTCAACACTGGATTTTGTTTAATTGTTTGTTTTTGTTTGTTCTCTTACTAACACGGTGAAACTTATACATGCCCTTTATTTTTTTTTTTGCAACTGAATTTCTGCTCAGAGATGGATAATGCAATGTTATAATCATACATATGTAGTACTCCTTTAACCTAATCTCTGATCTGCTGCTGTAGGGTTCAGATATAGAGACACTGGGATCAGACGCAGCAGCTGAATATGCCACTGAGCTGTCAGAGCAACCAAGTTTGGAAGAACCACAGCTGATTGAATCACAAGCCTCATCACCGGCTGGTAAAAAGCTTGATAACTGTTCTTGTTTAAATAATTACGCAATGCTGGTTTTAATGCTAGTAAGTGAAACAATGTTCAGCCCTTCAGTTGAAATATATTTTACAGTTTAAGCGACAGAGTGGTAGTGCAGAAACCAGAAGGCAATATCATCATGATTCTCTTTTTTTTTTTTCTTTGATCATTTTCCTCTTTAATATGTATTTTTTTTATTACCAGTTTATATGGAACCTTAGCGTTGGCCAAATTAATGTTCTTTTGCGTGTGTTTTTTTCTAAGCATTTTATTATAAACATGTCAACGTCGTTATGATAATATGTAAAAAAAGAAAATCCCTTTATTGACACTGGGCAAATTCATTCTCTGCATTTAACCCATCCCCTTGGGGATTACTGTTATTTTTAGTTCAATTACATTTAATTAATTCTATTTGAAGTTTTAATTTTTACAGTGTTGATCTAAATGAGTCACATTTATTTGATATTTAACTTTAGTTAAATGTTGAACTTTTATACTCTATATTAATTTGCCTAAATGGCTATGTTTGTGGACATAAGTCAGGTTTATTGTGGCTGTGCATAAATATATATTTTTTAGTTTATGTTTTTATTTATTTTTTTACTCTTCCAGCTCTGGGTGTTAAGGAAATCTCTCTTGATGACACACTGGGAGAGCAGACTGTTGATGAGACCATGTGTGGTCTTGAGGTGAGAGGAGATAAATGTATATAAAGAAAATGTTAAAGTAAAACAGAACTGGTTATTAAATGGTTATTACCTTCTGAAAATGTGTCCTGCAGGCTGGAAATGATGCCACAGTCAAAGAGCATGTTTTTTCCTCGAGTGATCACTCTGACATTGTGACCTTGAGAGACCTGAGTGAGGGCCAGCATGGGGAGGAGGAGGCAGCCAGCTCTGAGGAGCTGTACCTCGGCACCTCCAGTAGCAGTCATTATACCTTCACTGCCACAGAGACAGGTACGGCTCCTTTTAAATACCTTCTAAATAATCAACAGCAATACATCCGATACAAAAACTTTCTCCTGTGCCTGAGCAGGTTTGTTGTTGAGTTACTGGAAACTTCACCAAACTCTGGTGAACTTGAGCCGCCACCTGAGATGTCAGCTCCCTGGTAGCTGCTTGTTTCCTAATTTAAATTGAATTTATTCTAGCATGACCCTAACCTTGTTTAGCAGCTAACTAAGCTAAAACTGATGGCTGCTTGTGAAGCCTGAGAGATGTTGTGATGTAAGTTTGATGTGTGCACGAACAAAACTCAAGCCTGAATGGAAACTGTGGAACACTACAGACTTACAAAAAAAAATAAAAATTCTTAAAAATTATTATACCTGGGGTTTGCTTTGGTGGCATCGTCGTGTGGTTAACGCACACGACCCGTGTTTGGAGGCCTTAGTCATCGACGCGGGCGACCCGGGTTCGAATCCGGCCTGTGGTCCTTTTCCGCATATCTCTCCTCCTCTCAAACCCCCTTGTTGTTACTGTGGGGATGCTGTTTTCAGGGTGATGTAAAAGTTGAGTTTTCTTCCACAGTTATTTACACTTCATGATGTTCAGTTTTGCTCTCTGTCCCTATTTTTGATGTGTCCCCTTCCTATAAATGAACCATGGTCTGGTTTATGTTAGATTGAAATCTGGCATCCAGGAGGTCTGAAACCAACAGAGCTGCAAACTGCAGATTCTGGGTGCCGAAGGATGATCTGTGATGATCTCTGATTTTCTGTGGTGTTCCTTAACTTTAAAGATATATTCTTTGCAGCTTGTCAGTCATGCCATCTATGGATGCGTTTAAAGATTTGCTTTTTATAAAACATAAGTCAACTTTATAACATTAGGTGTTAGAAGGATGGTTAGTAATGTGCAGAGTGCTTTTTGCCATTTTGGTTCTAGAATGAATAGCCAAAATGTTAATGCAGATTAAAATAATTTTTGTTAGTTATTTGCAAAGTAAACCAGTATAAAGGACACTTTTTCTATAGCTTATATTTTTATTGATATTTGATGAGAGATTTTCAAACATTTCTAAATTTTGGGGTTTGCATGTTAAGTAAACAGTTCACTTCACATGGTTGCATAATTTCCACCTCACTAGCATGTGGTGGAAAGGAAAACAAGATGAAAAACAACCATGTGCCATTCAGTAGCTTCAAGAAGGTGCTGATTTATAATTTTTACCTGAGTATTGAGCTGGGATAATAAGTATGAACCGTTTAATCAATATTAGAGAAATCATACTTGGCAAATCTTTGCAGCTTGATGGAAGATGGCTCAGAAACTACTTTAAATGCATGAAGGGATGAGCATTTTGGGAGCTCTTGCAAATTACCACATGAATTTCCTCAAGGTGTGTAAGACTATTTGCTTTTGGCTTTAAACTGCAAAAGTGTTACCTCATCTAACTGCAGACAGCACACTGCACAGCATTAAACTATAGGTACAGTAAACACCCTCACCTACATCCTCTTATGCTGCTGATAAAATCAGGAAGGTCTCTTTTCAGATCTGCTCCTCCACAGTAAGGCTAAACCTGATGGTAGAGGTGTAAAAATCTCTGAGACATTTTTCAGATTTTGAAGGAAAATGTAAATGCAGATGTGATGGCTATGGTTCAGCATAAGGGTCCATTATATTCAAAATAATATCCTATTGGGACATTTGATAAGTACCAAGTTCTTGCATGATTTGAAAGATAATTGCAAAGCTACCTCTCTGAAACTTTACACATGGACATTAGACGACTGGGGAATGAATCCCAGAAACACCCAGACAGTTTTGAACAAAGCTTGAGGTCATAATGGGTTGGTTTACTTTCCTCCTTTTGGTGTCAACATCTTCATCTGTTTTTTATGTGGAATGTAGCCTTTCCAGCACAGCAGCCAGCGCTGACAAACTCCAGCAGCAGTGAAGATGAAGATGCACGAAGCTCCAGCCCCATTTTACGAAAGCGAAGGGTTAGGAAGAACACCACAAGCATTGTGACCGATCCAGAGGAGGAGGAGGTGTTGCAAGACTCACTGTTTAGTGAGTTGGAGAAGAAGGAAGAGCTACAGCAGCAGGCTGACTGGGTGGAGGTGAGACCTAATGCTGCTCATGACGACCGAGAGCAAGGCTTGGATGGGAACATCCTTAACAAATGCATCCTGCTCGCCCTCATTATCGCTGTCAGCATGGGCTTCGGCCACTTCTATGGTAACGCCACACTTCTAATCTAACATGCATAGACGTGCACGTACAGATAAGTGGAAATAATCAGTTTGACCAATTTCTCCTGTAGGAACGGTCCAGATTCAGGAAAGACAGAAAACCAGTGGAATTGAGCACATGGATGTGAGGGATCTACTTAAGCAGCATGATGGAGATTGGCATTTAACACAGCAGGTTGGTTATTAAACATAATGTTTGATAAACGTCCATCAGTAATTACAATCACTGAAGGTCAACTTAGAAGGCTAAGTAAATACATTTGGTGCTTCTTCTTTTTATGAGAACTAGCTGAGTGAAAAAAAAAAAAATATATATATATGTATATATTCTACTTTCTCTGTAAAATGATTATGAATAAACTGAATTCAGTATTAATAGAGATATTAGCATTTACAGATTGTTACAAAAACCAGGAGATGTGTCCCATTTCACTTTAACCCCTCAGACCTCGCCTCATTGTCCGAAGCTTCATATCTCTCATTACATGTGATGGAGCAGGAGAGTTCACAAAACTTCTATGGTAGTTCACAGGTCTGTACAGATTAGTCATTAAAGGATTTAAAGGCGTGTGGTTAGACTGGTTGTCTTGCAATGCTGTAAACCTATCACACCCTGGTCAGGCTCCAGTTAGGGTAATATTACAGACTTGGTGGTGCAGCTGCTGCTGTGCACACAAAGTCCCATTGCTAGTCTGGTTGTAACTAAAAAGATCTCACCAGTTTCCACAATGATAAATACAACACAGTAAAAAGGCCACCTTAATGAATGTCTCAAAGAGTCGACTAAATGCACTCAAATACTGTCGCTGCAAGCTCATCCAGGGGAAGCATGTCTTGCAAGTCAATGACTGGATGCAGTGGTTTTCCTTGACATAAACTTTTACCAATCTGACCGTATTATCTCTGTAAAATAGCCTGAGATGACATGAGTTGTGAATTGGCACTATATAAATAAATACAGCTGAATTGAGTTGAGTTAATAGGCTGGGATGCTCTTGATTCCTTGCTGCATAAAAAAATGTGCACACCACCAAATTGCACAAACTTTGGTGTATTATTTAAGTTGGGTTTGTCAAATGACAAAAGTACTAGTCAGGCTGGGAAAAAAATAAATAAAAAAAAGATCATGATGAGGTGGATAACCTGAGCAGGTGTGTTTATGAAATGATAGTAAACCAGAATAATTCATCCGAACACCCCAAACAATTTAACCCCTCAGCACTGAGGCATGTTAAATGGGATCTCTTTCACACTCCAGATGAATTTAGATGCCATTTTCTGCTCCATATCAGGGGTGGGAGTGATGATAGTGGTGCAGAAACCTTCAATTATTAAGGGAAAGAAGACTTTTTGAATTTTCTTTTTGAACAGTTTCCGGAGGTATACTTTATAAGTAATTGGAGATTAAGTGTTGAAGAAGGGAGAATAAATTCATAATTTAGACCTCAATAATTCAAGAATATTGTCTTTATGATTTGACTAATTAAACTTTTTTCTTTTTATCCTTAACTCATGAATTATCTCACTCAGTTTGGCCAAGATAGTCCCGATGAGCAGCAGATTATAAATTTGCTCTCAGAAGTGATTAAGAAGATAAAGGAAGAAAACAAGGAGTCTGAAACAAAACCTTTTCAAATTTAGATAAATTCCAATGATCTGAGTTATTTAACACTAGAACTCACAAGGCCGCATTTTGATGCGTTTAAGCTTTTAAAGGGAAAGAACTTTATTTGGATTATTCATATGTTGCTCATGTTAACTTGACTTTTCCTGTTTCTATATTTCCTTAATTTTCACATCGTTTTTTTAATAAAATAAAAACCTAAAAATAAAAATGGTTCATTCTACCGCAATCTCCCACAGCCATTATTTTGACGGCTCTATTAGTTGCATTGTAAATTCTCACCAATTGACTTTCTAGCTAGACCTCTTTGGCTTATACCGACAAATGGCTTTCAGAAGAAAATCTTACAACGAAACAGGCTTTAGAAATGCTTCAAAATATTGGTTATAGCATTTCGGGTGGAGAGGGAGAGACCGATGAGGAGGACTGGGTAGGAAGCGGCTCAGATTCTGACCCACGCATGGGAAAACGCAGACATATTAGGGACCAATCAGACAATAGTGAAACTTTTGCTCAAGGTTTGGACAGCACTGCCCGCCTCCCAGCCTTTAAAAATGTATATATTAGACCTGATATAATGTCTACATATCCACAATGAGTTTATATCGCACACTAAAACCATTTCAGTTGATGACATCATCACTACTCATGCATTCCATTGGGGAAAAATGTCACCGGTCAAATTGAAGGCCAGTGGGAGTTCTAGTAGGATCAGAATCCTGGGAGTCCTAGTGTTGAACAGAAATGATTGGTTACTTAACCTTTAAATGGATAAGCAGAAACTTATTTTTCTGTTCCTGTCAAGGTCCAGAGAGATTCCCTGGAAAAGGTTCTGAAACAGACCATGGAGGAGAGCACGGACGTCGTGTCTCAGCAGCAGCGTCTAACAGATGAAAACCTCCAGCTGAGAAGCTCTCTGGAGCGTGAGGAAAAATCTTTGTCCGTTTTACAGGAGGAGTTGAAAAACCTGCGCTCAAAGATTCAAGATCTGGAGGCTAGGGGAGTGGATTCACTGCTGTCAGAAAACCAGAGGCTGAAAGAGCAGCTGGAGGAGGGGCAGTGGATGATCAGAGACTTTCAGGTTCAGAGGAAAGACATGATGGCTGAAGCTCATATGCTCAGGATGAAGCTGGACAGAGAGAGGAAGGTCACGGAGGAGCTGAGGAACGAGCTGAGTGCTCTGAGGAGTCATGTTTCTACATCTAACAAGGAGAGCGGGTCAGAAGCAGAAGATTGGGAGCAACGTCTGCTGGAGCTGCAGAAGAAGCTGAGTTTCGAGCAGCAGCGCTCCGACCTGTGGGAGAGGCTGTACGTGGAATCCAAAGAGGAGAAGGCCAAAGGAGACAGAGAATCCAAAGTAAAAAGAACCAGACAGGGAATGGCCGGGAAAATGAAGGAGACGTTTGATGCTGTGAAAAACTCCACCAAAGACTTCGTCCATCACCATAAGGAGCAGATTAAGAAAGCCAAAGAGGCTGTGAAAGAAAACCTGCGGAAGTTTTCTGATTCGGTCAAATCAACATTCAAACACTTTAAGGATTCAGCCTCAACATTCATCAACAAAGCACAGAGATTTTATAACAAGAAGCATGACAAAGCAAACACTGACGAGTCATGGCAGCGTCCAGCCCAGAAACCCCACCACCGACACAAAACATCCTCCTCCCACAATGACAACAACACACGGAAATCAGCCGGGAAAGTTCTCCAGGACCAAGAGAGCAACCAGAGGAGAAGCATGAAAGGATGCAGCGGGGTCTTTGACTGCGCCTACCAGGAGTCCACCAGCCTCTTCAACAAAGCCACGGAGCCGATCAGAGCCGACGAGTTCAACCTGCTGCTACAGAGCTACCTGCAGCAGGAAGTGGACCACTTCTACCACTGGAACGAGCTGGGAGCCTTCATCAACGGCTTCTTTCATAATGGACTCTTCATCCACGACCGCATGCTCTTCACAGACTTCGTAAGCAAGGTTGAAAGCTACCTGGCTGACATCCAGGAATATCATGGCTTAGATGACGACATGTTCAGGGACTTGGACGACTACATCTACAGGCACTTCTTTGGAGAAGGATACACCAAGAGTTCTGGCCCGCGGTAAGTCTCCTCTAGAATCACATCTCAAAAACAGAAACTCAATGACCTTTACGCAACATCTGAGGAATTTCCTGCTAGAAGAAACCTAAGCCTAAAAACACAAGGAATAAACAGGCTGACTCAGTGAACTCCTCACTAAACAACTGGTTCAGTACCGAGACTAAATTACTCTCAAGAAGATCAGGTGACCTCTGAAGGTGATTGAATGCATTAGTTTATTTACTGTCAGAGGGGGATGAATTCTCAAATCATTTTTAATTTTATTTATCAAAAATGTAAACACAAAAAAACATTTTCCCGTTCACAGTGCACTTATCCATTACTTTTTATGGCTCTATCCAGTAAAATTCCAGTAAAACAAATCAAATTTTGCTGTTTCGATCTAACTAAAATGTAAAAAGATTTGATACAAGTTTTATGTCCTTAACTGTGTCTTTCTATGATTTTTTTCCTCTCTGATCTTAGAGGGCCGTTTCCAAGGCCCGACACAGACTCAAAGGAAGACTGGAGAGCAAGGCATCAGCAGAGGAAGCAGCCGAGGGGCAGATCTCGTCCTCACTGTTCTCGCAAGATGAGCCGATCAGGAAGGAACGCAGACAGACACATGGCTGATGTGAAAATTGAACTGGGCCCGATGCCCTTTGACCCCAAATACTAAAAGAAAATCATCATGAAAGCTTTTTTTTTTTTTTTGGCAATTTTGCACAATTCTTTTTTTTTTTTTTTTCAAGCTACTGAGCGTCCCAGCCCTGTTGTATGTTTTAACAATTTAAAAGTTTTAATGGACGATGCGGGACTTTCCTGCTTTAAGTTAACTCTTGGATTGTTTCCATGCCTATTGAAAAAATATAAAATAAATGTAATTTAAATCAATACTTGAGCTAATCATCCACCTGTTGCCATGCTTAACTCAATCCAAGAGGTTTAGCTTGTAGGTGTATGAAGGTTTTCTTTGACCAGTTTGTGACGTTAGTGACTTTAGAGTTCAGCTGTTTTCTAACATTCCACCTCGTGTCTCGTTTCAACTGGAGCCTTTGTTTTATTTCAGCTTAAACATCTCTTTAAAAAAAGACTGGAAAATAACTTCTTAGTTAAACTGTAGATGGAAATAAAATGTTAAAAAAGTAAATATTAAATTTAAAATATTTATTATAGGAGCAAACCGTTACATTGTCACAGAATATTTTCATCATTGGTGTTTGTTTCTGCTGCTTTGTCAGTGCCTTTCATAAATAAATATGTTTCCTCCAAGTCTTCCCTCTGGAACATGAGTGTGAAATATCTCTGCTGTCCTCGTGAAGTTATTCCCCTGCAAAAATGTGGAGATTTCCTACAGGAGAAAACAGAAATGTTTGAACATTGCACTTTCAGACAAATGCAAACAGATGGTGTAGCCTTTTCCCTACCTTTTCTAAGACGTCAAATAAAACCAGATGTGTTGGCAGGGAGGATTTGTATGGAAAAGAAGTCCTGAGCCAGAGGAGAGGATTGTTGTAGAACTGTGCAGCTTCTTCAAAGTAGCCATCCTCTCCAAGGTCTGGGGGACATTCCAGAAACCTCATCTTCAGAGGACAGTGGACATGGCTACGAGGAGACAGACGTGTGTAAATAACGAACTGTTTCTGAAGGTTTAATCCAAACACTATGTTTTGCTTAAAAGCAGCAAGACTTTGTTTTTCAGGACTTCTGAAGCGTAGATATTTATAATTTTTCAAGTTAATAAGAGATCTAATTCATTGTTATTTAAATATCGCCAATTAAAAAAAAAACTCCTTTTAAGGCCTTTTACAGAGATAATTCAATTAGATCAAACAGATTGTTAAAGTTTTTTTTTTTTATCTAAGGAAAGCAGCTGATTGCATCGAAACATTGGACTTACAGGTCACACTCCTGGATGAGCTTGTGGCAACTAGAAATTCACTTGCATTTTGTCATCTACTATAGCAATCACTCACAATGAGCATGCATGCAGCGACAGTGGGGAGGAAAAGCTGCCCTTTAACAAGAAGAAACCAGATGAGCAAGGTTCTGTGCAAGCGGTCTTTTCCTGAGGTCAACAAGTTCAAAGAGACGACAGCCCACAGTCCCAGTAAAGCCTGAGATTTCATTAAAACATTGACATCATTTTCTGCTAAGTTGTCAGTTCAGCACAGTCAAAAATCCTTGATTATCCCTTTAGGATCCTTTTAAATGTCTGAAGTAATAAGATAAGAAAATTGATCAGAAAAAAAAACAAGCAGCAAAGTTTTTTTTGCAGTAGTGTGCATATACATCTTGTATAAAAGATATTGGAAAAATGATTTGCACCTTTAAAGAAATACAAGCTAGTTATAAATGGCAAAAAAGTTAGACACTATAATGTTGGAACTTGCACCTTATTTTTACAATTAAAACCTTTTTTTTTAGCAACAGATACAAGATTATAACCCGATTGCATCTGAAAACATCCCACAATGCCGAATTAGAACAATTCAACAGCTTCATTTAGTTTATTTTTTTTACTTACATTTTAAACCGGTTTTAGCTACTTAAATCAATGCAAATATTGAACTCAAATCTAACTGTCCCTTGGAAGTGCTTTTGTTACATTGAAACCAATTAACCTCAACGTATTTTAGGGGATTTAATGTGATAAACTGACACAAAGTTTTATAACTAAGAAGCTTAAAACCAGTAAATAGGTGTTTGATAGATGCCAAGAGGCCCATAATAATGGAGGAGCTGCATATGATGAAAGCCATTGCTGAGAAAAGCCTGAATTGTTTACAGAGATGTCCATAAGTCGCATAGAGGACATGGTACAGATGCTTTCAGCTCCATGAGACCCAAACTGAATTTGTTTGGACTTTAAAGAAACAGCAGATCCCCCTGAACAAAGCAACTCCACAGTGAACCATGGGTTTTGGTTGTACCTGTAGAACGGCGTTGAGTGACAGGGCATGAGGAAGAGGACGTCCGACTGCGAGCTGACAGCGTCCCCGTTGACCTCACAAAGCGTCTGAAGGTGGCTCATGACATCTAGAGTACCTCTCTGGTGGATCAGACTGGTGTACAGAGCCAGAGCCAGGTTGGACACCAAAAGGAGAGCTGCAGCTGCACGTCTCCACGCTTTGAGGCGAGTCAAAGATATCCCTGCAATTACACACCTCTGATATGAACACATTTCACCAGGAATAGAACGCATACTGGGATTAAAGAGGTGAAACAGGGAACTGACCACAGAAGATCATACAGAATGGCAGCACAGGGTAGATGAACCTGAACTCCTTGTGAGGAAGCAAACTGAGCAGAGAAAATGATTTACTTCAACCATTTTTCATAAGTAGTTTTTCCCAACTCTGTCTTCTAATCAAATTACCTGTACACAGCAACAGTCCACAGAACCGTGACCAGCAGGATTCTGTATTTCCTGAAGGCCAGGCTGCATCCATGTAGAAAGAAGGGAAGATGGGGACCGATGACGACGGGGAAGCCTTGGGTGAAGTACCAGTGCCAGGGGTGGGAGCCGTAGAAACCGGCCACGCCGTGGAGAATGTTGAACTTGATGAAGTTGAATTGCACCAGCGTCCACTGGAATAGAGGCCAGCTGTTGCCATCTTAATGTAAACATAAAAGCTACTCGGTTGGTTGGCTGTGTTTTACCTTTTCATAGAAGAGACAGTCGATCAGTGCTGAAATTAGAACCGCCAACATCCTGGATATTTGACAACATGAAGCAGTGAGGACAGGAGCTAAACAATGGTTAGAGCATCCATGAGGCTGAGAGCACTTACCCTATAGGAACGTAGCTATGAGTGATGAGTCTCAGTTTGTCCGCTTCATGCCAGAAATGGTACATTAGCAGAGGGAACCAGACAATCAGGGCTGTCGGCCGTACGACCACTGCCAAAGCCACCAGGGAAAGGTACATTTTACTGGGGAAATGAAGGAAAACCAGTGAGAAATAAGACACTTGAAGATTAGTAGAATAAAAACGGTAACAAGCTTTTACCTGCTGGATAATTTAGACCCTGGCAGAGGAAAGTAAAAGAGAGCCAAACAGGTGAGGGTGGTCTCTGTTGTGTTGGTCAGAGTCCTGGTGCAGCAGAACCAGGAGAACCAGGAACACAGGTGGCAGAAGAGCTGGAGAGCAGAGAAATCAGCAGACAGTAAACAATCCTGACATGTGAATTAAAGCTATCAGGGTTTATTCATTGCAGGTTATAAAAATCTGACATTTAGCTTTGGCTTTTCAGACAGTGTAGATTTCATATATTTTATAAGATTCAGTTTGAATTAGATCAGCGCTGTTTATGACCAACAAGCCCACTTTAATCTAAGTTTAACTTTTGAAGAGAAGCTTTTTGATGGTTGAATGAATGTGAATTAAGCCCATCAGTGACATACCATTGTGATTTGGGAAACTGAAGCTTAACATTATTAATATAAATCAGCTGAATAGAATAGAAATGAAAGATGGGAAAAGTCTGGGAAATATGTTATTTTTTAAAAGGAGGTACAAATACTTTCAAAAATCTTAAGTAATGCAGAGTCTTAAATTAAATAAAATGTAGACTTCAAGACATGGGCGAGTGTTGGCCTAGTGGTTAAGGCAGTGCACTTGTGCCCTGAGAAGGTTGCAGGTACCCCATTTAATGCCAACTGCTTGCACTCTGGGTTCCTGAGCAAAACCCTTAACATCACACTGCTCCCTGGGCGCTGCACAGTGGCAGCCCACTGCTCCCTAAGAGGATGAGTTAAATCCAGAGAGTTAATTTCTAGTCTGAGATCTATGAAGTTCAATTTCTATTTCTAGACTGAATAAAATAAAGGTAGAATAGCTTGATGCATGTAGATGTTCTGCATAGACTAATCTATAGGGTCCATTCAGTGAGTTCCTGATGTTTGCTCTGCAAGGATTCTATTGTCAAGTCCAGGTTTGGGAGGTGAAAACAAAACCCAGTCACAGAACAGTTTCTCAGTGAGATGTAGGATTATGACAATAGGCTCTTTCTACCGTCCATCTCGTAACATCCTCGGTTTCTAGCGATCGGATGAGTAAGAAGAATTTAACATCAGCGAATGCAGCCAGGAGAGCTTGAACTATTCGAGGAAGCCAAATCTGCAACAACAAAAAAAAAACCTCATGAACTCCATGATCACAAAGTAAAATCAAATCTTTCCAAGAAATAAAGCAACTCACAAGGAGGTAGACTGTGTCGTAGTTTAGCAGGTGTAATATCTTGTATAGAACTGCAAAAAACAAAGGATAAGCAAATCCTCTGATTCCTGCTTTCCACTCCCAGGTCAGGTAGCCATAGGTTTTACTGTTAAGGTTCTCGCCTCAACAAATAGATCAACCCAGAATCAAACCAGGAAAAAAAAATTTTTTTGTTGATAAATATATTTCAACCACAAAATTAATACCACAACAACTGCCATTTTATGTGAATAATGAAAGAACCTTCAGATAATCAAACAAGCATCAGTGGCAGGAATCAGTTCCCCTCCTTAATCCGAATCCGGTTTTCCATATCCAAACTGGCCGTTTTTTTGCACTTTCTTATCGTTAAAGCCTTCAAATATCAGGCTTTCACAGATTAACCAAAGCTTTCTTATAGTTACTGAGAACTTGGACCTTAAAAGTTTCATCCAATCAGCTGTGAGAAGAGACTCAAGTGTCTAAGGAAGTCAAAATGAGCTATTTTAATAGGTAAAAATTAGATTTTTATCTTATTACAAATTGAAACTGTAGCCATGTAGAGTTTTGTTTATTTTACCACTGTTTAGGAGATTGAAAAAAGTTGGGGATATAAAGTGGAATATATATAAATAATTAAATATTAGTGTTGCGCCGATGCCATTTTTTGGCCCCGATACCCGATACCTGGCTGTGCAGCATCAGCCGATACCGATACCATCTGTTTGAAATTGAAGTGTGTGTTTATATATGAAGAACTGCACACTACTTGGATGTAGAATAATTGCCATCATGGCTTTGTCAAGCTGCTGCCTACCTTTGTGAAACAGGAAAAATACTAATACAAAGTGAATCCAGTAGAACTTTTTATTGCCGACCTGGAATCGGTGACAATAGTTGAATAACCTTTTGGCTCTCAAAATGCTATCGGTGCCTATTTGTCAGTACTTGCCGATACCGATACCACCATTTTAGTGCTGGATCGGGGCCCCAACTCAATACTGGTATCGGAATTGGTGCAACACTAATAAATATATCAACATAAGTAAAAACCTCTTGTTTTTACCGGTCAGTCTACGTCCCTACTCTCACATAAGGTTATAACATTTAAATTATGTCCAAAAGAAATAGATCCTGGATGCAAGTGGCTGAAATGACCGTTCTCCATAGGTTGGCTGGACACTAGAGATAAGAGTCCAGAACTCGGTCATTTGGAAGAGGCTCGGAATAGAGCTGCTTCTCCTGCACATCACGAGGAGTCATCTGAAGGGAATCGGACATCTGTACTGGATGAAAACTGGACGCCTTCCTCAGGATTGTTCCAGGCAAGTCCCAGGACATTGCAAAGGACACAGTGGACAGACTGTCTATTGGCTGGCCCTGCAGCACCTGGGAATCTCTTCTGAGACTGCTGCCCCCCTGACCCAGTCAATTTCAACTGAAATTCAATTAAAAGATACTTGATAATTCCAAAGGGAATGAAATATTGCAGTAACTCCTAGGGTTTTTTGCGTTTGTTTTTTTCGAATTGTTGGAGCTGTGGATAGCTGTAAGAGGAAGGATCTTCTCTAGCAGTCTGTCTTGCACCAAATCTAGAGAACCCTCTGACTGAAGATACTTTTCTGTTCAAAAATCTTCTGAAGTGGATGCTTACTGTTGTCCATAATGTTCTACACTTAATGGAGAATTATCCTTTGTGAAATCATCCCCAGAGGTTCAAGAGAAGTTCCTTGAACAGAACTGACCTTCTTAATTAGCTTGTTGGTCTTTTTTAAGTCATTTGCCCTGATGCTGTTACCCCAGCAGATGATGAAAGAAGAGATCACACTCTCCACAACAGATAGAAGATATGTAACATCTTGTTGCAAAGGCAGAGGGACCTAAGCTTCTTCATGAAGGCAACAATGATGTGAGATGGAAGAAGAGCAGTGACAATGGATACTAGTAGTCACTGTAGATGTGCTAATTGTTTTACAATGGTTGTGGTTGTTTGGGTTATAGCTCATAATCTTGTAATAATAATAATAATAATAATAATGAGTTTTATTTGTAATGCACTTTACATTTGAATTCAAATCTCAAAGTGCTACAGTTCAAAAAAGGGAAGATTAAAACAAAGGTTAAAAGACCATAACATTAAAACAGAGTAAAGACAATCATTAAAATCAATACATTTGGAGGCATACATAGCCTATCTTAGAAATATATTATAAAGTTAAAAATTATAAATATATTAAAATAAATAAATCTTAAAATATTTAAAATCTGTAATTGTACTGCTTTTTCTGAAATAAAGTTATTCATTCTGTCACTCATTCACACACACTGACACAGGAAATCAAAGGATATTTAAAGACCATCCGGTGGGACACCTCCAAGGACTGCCAGTACTCATCAGGGACAAAGCTGGTCTGGACCAGGACACAGTTGATCAGTCTGAAGAACACAATGAAGACAGCCACCCTCAGTAGGCCTGTGGAGATAAGTTGCTTAGTGATTTCCTGAAAAGGAAGTGTTTAATGGAACATGGAGCTGATTGAGCTGCAGCACCGTGGTTTAAAAGCTTCCCCTCCTCCTTGGAGTAAAGCAGGGACCTCCGTTTCCTCAACTTCACGTCCTCTGCTTTGCTCCCGAACTTCAGCCGAGGGCGTAGAGTCTCCATCCTCATAGGATAAGGTGGGAATCACCTGTCAGAGCAGGACTAGGCTCATATCAAATTCATCGAGAGGCTGAAACTAAAACAAAATCAGGGGAATTTCCTTATCTCGTGTCTTAAATAAGCTAATTTAAACAGGGGTTGTAGTTGCTTTGGTTTAACCAACTTCAATTTCTTACATTTTAATCTCTCTCAACTTCCGAGTTTGGATACTGTGACCAAACAAACGTATTTAACATTACTTCCGCCCACACTCAATCTTATTTCCGGTCTTACAAACTTCAATATAAAAGCTCTTCTTCTTTGTGGTGTCTATTCGTGTTTGGTAATAAACTAAACGGCGCTTTACTGCCACCAACTGATGAGGAGAGAGACTGTCGCTATCTCTGTAGATTTAACTTCTTGGGACATTCTGTAAATGTAAATTAGTTCTAGCTTGATTTTCACTAATTTAAGGTATCATATCCCGTAAAACAAGCATACTTGTCATTATTGCTGTTCCATTTAATCTAAAATCAGCATTTGCTTTTTCTGCGCTCATCATATTTATTTAAAATGTGTATTTTTATATAGAGTCCGGCTGCAAAACTGACCAAAGAGGAAAAAGTAGTTGATCTTCCAATCTACGTTTTTATTTAAGGTCGGTTAGGCAACACCAAATACGTTGTTTTTTCGCCATCTACTGGCAAATTGATGTATGTTTGAATTATTTTTATTTTTTTGTTTTTCCGGCAAGGAATATAAAATAAATTATGCATATACAAAATATATGTCTTTAAAAATGTAGATATAGTGACCCAAAAAGTGTTCAGTAAACTGTTTTGACTTCGTATCACACCCGAACAATATTTCTATTCTATTCTATTCTATTCTATTCTATTCTATTCTATTCTATTCTATTCTATTCTATTCTATTCTAATGTGTTCTGTTCGACATTTCTTGATGTATTATGAGTGTCAGGATAAGTTATCTTGAAAACATAAGCACTCAAGTTGTTAATGAATTTTGTGCAGTTCATTTTTTTTTTTTTTTTTTTTTTAGTTTTTGTACTTGTGTATGATTGAGAGGATACAGATTTAGAGAATAGAATAGAATAGATGTTTTAAAATTTTTTTGATATACAGCTCTGATTGACCTGTCCCCTCCAACGGTGGAAGAATAGATTGCAAGCTTATTTTCCTTATTTTGTACCGATTGTCTGCTACATAAACAAATATAATTATATTCCGTATCTATTTAGATTCCAGTTAAAGCGGATATGTTATATTGACAGGCTCCCACAAAAGATCACCAATGAAATTAATCCAAATAAAAAAAAACAAAAAACAAAATATTATTCAAAATTTAAACATTACGATCTAGTTTTTGGGAAGAAAAGAATATGAATATGAATAATAAGAATAAGAATATGAATTTACCACGCTACTCTTATTTTAATTAAATTTCCCCGCTTCAACGTAGCCATACTGTCTTGACCCATCGTTTTTCTCTGACGCTAGGTGGCACTGTTCATCTTTCTTCGCACAGTAGTTCTCAGAAGAAGAAAGCTCTCTCTATACATAAGTATCCTCCTGTTTACCTTTTCTTGGGCATTTTTATCCTTTGGTCTGACTTCCCCTCTGTCCGGGATAACTACAGACTCCTCCTATAAAGTGCTATCTGGTGAGTGAAATATGTTGTAGATAATTATATCCGTAATAGTCATGTTTGACCGATGTTCAATAAAAAAAAGGTTAACGAACTGAAAATTAGAACAAGATTCGGTCGAACATTGTCAATATCCGGTCGGGACAAAATTTCAAAATAAGACATTATATTTGGACATGCTTTTGGTAAATATTTATATGGAATATCGCGCTACCTGTTGATGATGTACTACAAATCAGTTTTACACCCACCTGAGTTCTACATTTAGTGTATTTAAAGTCAATATTTGACAGAATAAGACATCTAATATATTTGTATGTGCATATGTATATGAGGTGTCCTGTGCACACATTTTAAAATGACAAAATTCACTGTCAAGGTAGAAGAAAATAACTGACTCTCCACTCAAGAGCTTTAGGTCTCACTGCATCAGGTTCTAAATTCACTTTAATCTTTTTTTTTCAGATAAAAAGCTTGTGTTCACTAGGGCTGGGTATTTTCGCCAAAGTCCGGAATCGGTTTCAATTTTGATTCATACAGTTCTAAATCGATTAATTTCGATTCGATCTTATTATGTTATATAAAATACTTAACACTGCATCCTGAATTTTTTTTTTTTTTTATTTAATAGGGGGACGTTTTATGCAAACTATTTCTAGCAACACATGCTTGTTTTCTTGATACCCATGTATTTGCAATGATCTGCCATGTGTTTTTCTTTCTTTCAGGATTGGTAGGGATCTGTAGATCTTGATACCTTGTGAATCAGGAGCAATGTTTCGACAAAGGCTGCCTTTCTCACAATTGTTTTTAGCCGCAGCGCTTGGGGTCGCTGGGGGCATTTACATCTACAGACCATACTATGAGTCACGACTGAAGGCCTTTGAACAGCAAAACAAGGATGTGCCAAAGAAAGGGAATGAAATGGACTGAAGCACATCGCCACTCCCAGGAAGCACTTAACAGACTGAACAATCAGAACCGCTGATGCCAGACTGGAGGCCAAACAAAACACAAAGCCTGTGCAGTTACATTTCTGCTACTGTGGGGTATGGCAATTTTTTTTAAATGCCTTGACATATTTTAACACTCACCTGCCTTATTAGTGGCAGATTTATTTGTAAATGCATTAAAATGTGTAACCGAAAGATATTGTGAACCAAGAAATAAAGTAATGTCTTTTTGTGGTGAGAAAAACACAAGTGTTGGTACATTTTTAATTATTCAATGATTTCATCTATCCACAACCTGAACTTACTCTGGTTATCTTTTATGTGAAAAAACTGTTCAATCTAAAACTTTTATGACAAACAGAAAAAAAAATCTGTATGATAAATGGACTGGATGATAAATTCTGATTTTTCTTTTCAATTGTGACCCGATTAATCTCTTAGTTTTATCTTCAGTTATTCAGAAGCTACATGCATTTATTAAACACATTTTTGACAGGATTAGTATTTCATTAATTTTTGATAAGATTTATAAAAAAAAAAAAAAGAAGTTAATTAGAGTCCGTATAAGATCAGGAAGCTCAGAGGTTTTGGAGTAAGTTTATTTCAACATGATGATAAGCCATTTAAATACGACACCAATAGCAAAGCAGACAGTGGTACTTTTAATTACTATGTTAATAACTGTGTATAGTTAATTAGACGGTTGGTAAAAAACACATTTATATGTTTCAAACCGCAATTAAGATCTTAAAACAACAATGTATTTGAGTATTTTATTTTTTACACTACAACTTGGAATTGGGGTAATCCAGAGCGTCCAATAAAACCATAACCGTTGCGTACAATGTGTTAAAGATGATGGATACCAAAAAGAGGTACTTAAGTGGATTCAAGAAAAGAAAAAGCAAAGAAGAGCTGCTGGAAGAACGGAAAAAAATTCCCAAAAATTAAACATGTTCTTTCAAAGAAACGAAGAGGGAGAGGTGGACGTTGCTGCTACAGTGAGTGTTGTACTTCATATGAGGCCTACCCAGATAATGTTGTGTCGTTACGTCATTGGGTCCAAACATAGCATAAGAACACTGTAATATTTTGATATGGCTGGAGCCGGTCAAGTTTCCTCATGTACAAACATGATGCAATAATGTGAGATTTGATGATGTAGTAGTCTGTGTTTATAAAATGCTTTTTTTAAAACTGGTAATATTTTAGTGCCTGGTGGTAAGCTTACAAGATTACAATTTTTTGTCATGTCTCATATTCATTTAATACATATATATATATATATATATATATATATTATTTAAAGTGTATTTTCCTAATTACCTCTTCTCAGGAAATAATTAGTAAAGCTTAACTATATAAACAGATATAACCCTAAACTGGTCAGGACCAGTTCTTCGGGGCTATGGCCCCTGATGGCCTCTGTCTAGAACCGCCCATGGGGCCCCGGACAAGTTTGAGGCCGCTTCTGGGAAATGCTTTAATGAAAATGGACCGAAGGAGGATTAAAATAGGAACCACACAGTCACCCGTTCAATTTCTTGGCTCGGTGTTTTAAAGCAGACCACCTGCAGGTCGTCGTCGCTGATCGGACGCTCGCCTCGCCTGTTGATTCAGCTAGCACCGCTGGGAGGCGCTGTTTCTCACCGGAGGGGCTGAGAGCACACAGCCCCGGAAAGTTAAGGTGGTGCTTAGAGCGGGCCAGGCTGTCCTCATGTCCACTGATGGGCTAGAAGCGACGGGAAAAACTCAAGCTCCACTTAGATCATTTCATTTCAAGTTTTCTCCGGTTGTTTGAGGGTTTTTATTTTATTTTTTTACAGAGTAGGAGGCAGCAGCAGCTACGCCCTGGGGCTGGTGAGTAACTCTGCTTTCAGGAAATGTCTGCCGTGGGAACCAGGCTGGTAGCATCTGTCAGGAGTTAGCAACTTATACCTTCACCCTGGCTGCTGTTTTCTTCACAGAAACATTTAAACATGTCATCCACTCTTCAGTTAAACTTCAGGCCTCCTGGGTTTTGTTTTATTCCACCTGCTTTTTCCTCATCTGTTGCGTTCACTGACCGACACAACACGACGAGCCAGAGATCATCACTACTACTGACTAGACTTTTTATTAACTTCTCCTTTTTACGTTTTCATGATCCTATATGATGGGAGGCTGACTTTTAGTTGGGGATGTCAGGATGGGTTTAATGTTTGTCTGAAGGGGGGGGGGGTATTTTCCATCTGATTGGTCAGGTGACCCCCCCTCCCTCCACATGAGCACCAGCTGAGCATCATTAGACCCCCTGTTTCTTTAAGTTAACTGATTTATGATTGTGATGCTGCTGTGGAAATCGGTTTGAAGTGCCTTTTTAGAACCTGTTGCTGATTTTCCTCACATGGTGCTGCATTTAAAGATGCACATTGCTGATGTGAAACTGAATTAATAATCTTTGGACCAATAGAGGAGAGATCTAAAGTTAGCACACAGCTTCAGTTGCTTCAGCTAGTAACCACTGATCAGGCCTGAAATCTAGGTGTAGTGCTGGATACGGGCTTGAACCTCCAAAAGCATTTAAAGACAATTACAAGGTCTGCTTTCTGTCGCCTGAAGAACATTTCCAGGATTAAAGGACTAATGTCTCAGCATGATCTGGAAAAACTAATCTGTTTATATTTAGTCGAATCGATTACTGCAACAGTGTTTTCACAGGTCTGCCTAAAAAGTGGATCAGACAGCTGCAGCTGATCCAGAACCCTGCTGCCCGTGTCCTCAATAAGACTAATAAAGTAGAGCACATCACCCCAGTTCTAAAGTCCTTACACTTAATCAAGTGAAGCACTTTGCATTGTCTTTGTACTGAATTGTGCTATACAAATAAATTTGCCTTGCCTTGCCTTGCCTTGCTGATGGGCCCCTCATGGTATCCTCAGCGGTCACAAGTTTTTCACATTTTGAATATATGTATATGTTTTGTTTCTTCTATTGTTTTTGGTCTTTTTCCCCAGAGTTAGCTCCTCCACTTTAACCTTGAGCTGCTGGCATAAGGATCAGTCTCTTTGCAAGAGACTGTTTTATTTTAAACTGATTTGTGTCAGTTTAGTTGCTCAAGATAAGACGAATGAATTGAATCTAAAGAAGGCAGCAGAGTTTACTCTGTGTTGCTCTGTAAATGCCCACACTGTGGCCTTTTACCAGGGAAAGTCTGCTTCTATGAGAGGCTTCAGTCTTGTTGAACAGGGACTCGCTTGTTGTCAGTTTTAAAAGGTTTTGCGAAACATGAGACTGTCTTAATGTAATTTCTTTCTGCTTCCAAGTTAGATTAACTCCCACACTTTCTGAGCAATAAAGACCTGTTTACTAGAGTTAACATATTAGACCCCTACTAAGGCTGCAGCAGACAGCAATGATATGATTTTGGATTCAGCATTAGGATGGATCTGTCCAGTTTTTATTTGAACCATTTGTGAAGGAACCAGTTTGATGTTACTTATTTGGAGAACTTGCTGTCTTGTGGATGTGGGAAAGCTTCTGAATGACAACAGAAACTTTAGTTATCTAGAATAATTGAAAGGGCTGTTTGCTTGCCTAACTCACCCGAAGATGATGATCTGGCTTCCTTTTTCACCACTATGGTAGAACCTGGGAGGAACAAGGTGAATTACACATGTTTCTGCAATTCAAAGAGGCGGTGTGTTAGAAAGGCCACATTAAACTCTGGTCTCTATTTCCCTGTTGGTCTCATTAGTTTGAGCTTGAAAACGACTTGTTAGAACGGAGTTTGGTGCTCTGCAAGGAAACGTCTGATTAGCCAGATATAATCTGCAGAAACATGCTGACGCAATCTGTACTTCCAGCTCTGTGGTTTTGCAATTCTGTGACCTGCTTTTACTTTTGCTTATATTTTATACTAACTGGTGTTCATTTAGTAGGTTTTTGATGCGGACAAAACCGGTGACTGACATGTGTTTGGTTGTATGTCATGTGTCACTTTTTACTTGATTATTGTTTGTAATCCGTAGGGGACTGCACTGCAACAACAGTGTTCTTACTTAATCTTTTAATATTCCTGTAAGGACATACGGATTAACTGTAAACACTTTTTTTTCCAGGTGTTTACACACATGTTTTATGATGCAACACATTAATTTTCTTTGAGTTTATTCTGTTTTAGATTATTTAGGATTACCAATATAATTTTCTGCTAAATTACATCTTTAAGATAACCCTTCTTTATAAGTTTAGTTTGAGTCACCAATAGGCCCACCTTAGGATGGACACGCTGCTTATTTTTCTGATTTAATGAAAAGAAAAAAAAATCAGATAAGAGAATTGAGAAAATAGTTTTGGATGGTCACAAGTCCCAAACATGTTCAAACTATTTTACAGAAGTGTAGAAAGCAAAGGAATGTACAGGAATAATACTCCTAAAAAAGGGGTCCGATAGCTAAACTTTTTCTGGTGGGGAAATTTGCATTTAAACCGAATGGAATAAAAAAAAAAGAAACACTTTGTGAAGATTCAAACTGAAATGGGTAAGACTGGGTTATTATCAAATGAAATCAGTCCTGAACCAAGTGGGTTGCAGGGCCAATCAGGAAGGGAGAATCCGATTGTTCCCTTTAAAGTTAACTATATAAAATGCTGTGTGGAAATTTCAGAACAAAGTTTAAAATGATAAACTCTAAAATTCAAACATTTAGCAATCAAATAGGATATTCCTGGCTGTACTTGTTTTTAATCAAGTGTCTATAAGAATATGCTTTCAGCTCTAATTTATCGACGCGTTGTTCTCACAGTACTATTCATCCGATTGGTTCCAACACGACACCATCTGTTGTTTAACAGGCTCAGGATGGGCAATAAACAATTATAAAATGTATTGCCATAGACTGCTTATAAAAAGCCTCCAATAGATTTTTTTAGAATATAATTGCACTGAAATCTGATCAAGAACTCCATGGCATTCTGGGTGATGTAGGCAGAGAAGGAATTTAGGCTCTCATCTTAAAACCTTAGCCTCTTACAGCCAAGCTGATCCTTATTTCAAATTGAAGAACTAATATTTACTAATTAGCTATTCATGATACGTTTTCCAGCCATATTGCACAACCCTATAACTGCCACAGATATTATTAAATACATTATACACTGGGTCTTATTAAAGAAATTATAATGATCACATTTTATGGAAACTAACTCAGCCTCTACAAATGCAACATCTGGGTCTGTGTGGAACACTTCTGTGTAAAGACTGATCAATTCTTGGGCTAAATAAAGAAATTGTAACCCAAGTCTTTCTGGACATTCTGTTTGTGGGTCGTTGAAAGAATGATCTGTAATTTAATCTAGATTTAATCTAGCTAGACCCAAAAAAAGTGGACCTGGAGCTGCATTCATTCTCTCTAAGGAAAATATGTAATCCTAAAAGAGTATGTGGAGTTTTTATCCTGAGCTAAAACTCTTACAATGACTGAATGCTTGGCTTTATGAGCCTACCTTTAACTAGTTTTAGATGTAAATGATGTGCTTTGAGTTTGTCAGTGTAACATGGGTCAGTTCATCTTTTTTTTTCTTCACACCCATAACTAAGTTAAAGGTCCCAAATGACGAAGCTGTTGTCTGTTTTGTTCATTAAATAATTTTTTAGATCCACATTGGACAATCAAAACTAATTTACAGGCAATGGTTTTTGTCTTAATGTGTTTTAGGTTTGACTTTTAAACTTTGTTGAGGAAAGGTAAAAATCCTGTCTTAAGAATAACAATAAAGATGTTTTGAAGCTTTGGTTAGGTAATTAAAGAGTTAAACAAAGGGGTGTTTGACATCTTATTTTCATAGTTTTTCTTCACTGTATCTGCATAAAAAACTGGAGATGCATAAAAAAATAAGATAACATAAATCTTACAATAAGAATTGTATTTTTTGACAGATTTGAATCGGGTGGATCTATTCTTTTGCGTGTGTAATTGTAGTCATTTCTTTTAATAATACAGTTTTGTACAAGCTGATGTCAACTTCAGTAAAATACTCATATTTCTAAATGCTGAAATAAATGAAAAATGGGTTACATAAAAGGTATATTTGTACAGCAGGTTTTTTTAATATAATATTGCACTCAACAAAAATACAAAAGCAACACTTTTGGTTTTGCTCCCACTTTTTATAGCCTAAGGCACACCTGTGCGCTAATCATGGTGTCTAATCAGCACCTTGATATGGCACATATCAAGACGCAAAGAAGAAGTGCTCACTATTACAGATTTAGACTGGTTTGTGAACAATATTTGAGGGAAATTGTGATATTGTGTTTGTGGAAAAAGTTTTAGATCTTTGAGTTCATCCCATTAAAAATGGGAGCAAAACCAAAAGTGCTGCATTTATATTTTTGTTGAGTCAGTGTGAGGAAAAATATAAAAATGTTTAATATGTTTTTATAATGCAGTAGATGCCCAGGTGGAGGGTGGAGGGTGATCAGTGTAATTACAAGGCAAGGCAAATTTATATGTATAGCACAATTCAGTACAAAGACAATGCAAAGTGCTTTACATGATTAAAATACAGGAAGATAAAACAGAATCAAAGCAAGTAGGAAAAAAATAAAATAAAAAATGCAGAAACAAAAAAGAATATTAAAAACAGTTGGACTAAAGAAAATATGTTTCAGTTGAACTGTTTAACTAGAACAGTCGAAGGCAATCCTCAACAAATGTGTTTTTAGTCTTGATTTAAAGGAACTCAGGCTTTCCGCACTTTTACAGTTTTCTGGAAGTTTGTTCCAGATAAGTGGAGCAAAGGAACTAAATGCTGCTTCTCCATGTTTAGTTCTGGTTCTAGGTATGCAGAGCAGGCTGGAGCCAGAAGACCTGAGTGGTCTGGATGGTTGATACACTGATAGCAAGTCTGAGATGTATTTAGGTGCTAAGCCATTCAGAGATTTATAGACTAACAGAAGTATTTTAAAGTCTATTCTCTGAGATACAGGGAGCCAGTGTAATTACAGGAGGGGAATGGTAGAAATGAACTGGATAAATGACCAGTTTTAAGAGGAAATTCAAAAAAAGTATATGTGGCACAACTGAATTTTGTTGCGCAGTAAAAGAAGCAGTTAAACCTAAAGTAATTGCACATTAATAGTGGTAGGTTTGTGATTTAAATGAGATTGTAGGGCAGCTTTCTTTTTTTTGCTTGTCAAATATTTGTCAGATGAAGGCGCAAACTCTCTGTTTTAAATCAAGAGGGGTCACAAAGAAAAGTTTGAGAACCACTGTTAGAAGAAGTGTGTTTTCTTCAGATGGTTTTAACACAGAAAGTGAAGTTGAGATGGACTCTAAGCTCACCTCTTATGGTCAAATCTGTGTTTCTTTCCTCCCTTTACAGCCCAGCAGATTTAACACAACCCTAGATTTTGCACGGGACCCTAATCTGCTTATGGGTTCAGAGGAAAGGCTCAACGATGCATGCAGGGAAAGAATGTAAGGCCTGTCTGAAATGTCAACGAAGTGATCATATGACACATTTCTGCCTTCTTCAAGCCTTTTTTTACCCTGCAATTAGTAAAGTGTTGCTAATGGGAGTCTCGCATCTCATAGATGAAACAGTACGGGTCTATTTACTGGCCAGTTTGTGGCCAAAATTATGACATTTTGCAATTTGCTGGTGATTTGAATTTGGACCTACCGTACATTTGGTGTAGAGGGATGCATATATTCTTAAGTAATACACATTCATCCAAGAATGGAAATATAAATATGCCTTTATTTTCTTACAAAGGGGATGTTAAATTGTGTCAGCAGCAAATAAGGAAAGACTTTAGAAAATAAAAATAAAACATACTGTACATTTATAAAAAACCGATACACTCTGTTTGAGTTGAGTAGGGTTGTTTAGAAAGCATACAATGTGTAAATTTGTGCGTATACAAATAAAACCAACACAAAATAAATAGCAGTAGGATTTTTATAGAGCGCATTGAAAGCAGTGATGGTTATGGAGGCTAGAAGAAAGGATATGCGTTTGCCCTACTTTGTGCACCGAGGGTGCAGTACTCTTTCATGTAGACATTAACCCATTCCGTTTAGTACTGGGTTTAACCAATGTTTTGGATATGACAGAGAAGTAGATTTTAAGAATTTTTTTTTTGTAAACAATCCAAATTATTAGGATTTGTTGCAAAGAATAAACATTTTTAAACAAGATTTTCTAGACTAGAGTAAGCCTACTATCAAGCCTATTTATCAATTAGTTTTTGGGTCTGGAGATCATATAGAAAAAAATAAGCTAAGCAGTAAAATGATGATGAAGCATATGTATAATGTATTGTTTAGTGCTAAAATGCATCACTTGGAAATGATCAAAAACATATAAACAATAAATCCCTGAGGTTTATTGTTTTGTAGGGATTTTGTATAGTCAACCAATATTAAAGTGATGTAAAAACACTGTTAATACAGATTTGATTTGATCATTTCCTGTTGATTCATGATAATGTTGCTGCTAATAGCCTTTAAAAACAAAGTGCAATCAAAGCACAATAAGTGGACCCTAAAACCCTTTGCTCCGTTTTAACCACAGCTGTATGCTTTCAGGTGGTTTCGTATGATTTTACATGGAGCAGGTTGTTCTGCCCTGCAGCGAATGGCTAACTGTTACATGAGGTGCCTCTGAATGCAGATTAAAATCTTTTAGCAAATGTTCCAGAGAGCACTGAGGAAATGTTGCATTAATCCCTGCATATTGTTGCAGCAATGATTAACTGTGTTGCTAGATTCCTCTGTGTTTTCATCATGCAGTATAGCCAAGTACTAAAGGGATTTTCACTGAATCCTGTTGTAACGCTGGTTGGAATTTCACAATGTAGGTGATGCGAGGAGGGTTCAATTGCAGGAAATGTGACACAATTTTCAGTTTTTGACACTAGTTTGTGCTTTATTTCTACTGGTCAGAACCGAACATTACTCTGGTTGACAGGAAAACATAACAGGCTTTGTGCTGTTTCATTTCTTTGTGCTTCATTAATAAACTTGGTTGATGATCAAACCTTTCTACATTTCTAGTTGGTTTCATATTTTGCTAGATTCCACTGCCCAAACTGAAACAGTGTACTTGGGTAATAGTTGAGTGTTTTTAAAGAAAATGTTACCTGAAAATGAGGTGGGCTGTGTTAAAAACAGTCTAATAAATGGCCTTAAACATTTTCATTTGTACAAGAATCCTCCTGATTTCCAAAATAATCCTACCCTGAATGAGTTTGAGCTAAACACTACAGATCTTTCCTTTTCCATTTCATCAAGGATTAAAGTAGTTGAAATACTGTAATGCTAAGAAATTCCTGCAGGTATAAACAAGGAAGTTATGATGTTTATTATTAAAATTCCCAGCAAAGGGATTATTTTTTTCTCTAAAAAAACTCTGCTACTCCTTTTACATTGCATTGTTTGCAAGATATTTAATTATTTTCTGTCAGGGGAAAAAAGGCTGCTCAATCAAATTAAAAAGGAAATAGAAAACTAAACCTTTTCGAGTAATGAATAAATTTGGGATTCCCTCTAGTAGTTTGTAGATTTCCTGTTGGATGTAAAGGAAGTGAGCTTTAGTCTTCAATGATCAACCCAACATTAGAGAAGGGATTTGAAGGATTTTTTCATGCAAATATAAAAAATGTGTGCATTCAGTTAAAGCTTTATCATTTCAGGTTTGTGTATTTTGAAAAAACAGGTTTATCTTCTGATAAACAATCACCTGCTATTACTACTGTTGGCCATAAGGGATGCTTGTCATTTTACCTTTCATTTTTAGAAAAAAAAAAAACTTGTTTAATTTGATGCTGTGACCTATATGAATAAAGACTTTCATATGCCATTGGTCAGAAAAGGTCAACTTTGAGCCATTTATTTGAATAAACTAGACAGAAGGGCATTTGTTCTTCTGGTAACTGTGTGCATATGCTCTATTTGTATAAAAGTTGGATGCAATCTAGTGTAGCATTGAGGGCTACCTTTTTTTTAAACACTATTAGTTCTTATACAAGTTTGTTGTTTTTTTTAGCTACCATTTGTTATTGCATTTCGGGAAAGATGAGTAACTTGAAAGTGATGTCGGTCTAGGCATAACGCATACAAGCATGCAGGGTTTTTTTCTTCAAAAAACTCTTAACTCAGTCAGTGTGTTACTATAAGATGGCACCTGTGTAATAATTTATCAGGTACCAAGTATTTCAGAGTGAAGTGTTAGTGGCATTATAAGAAAGTGAAAGTAATTCCTGAAGGATGGCAAATCAGCCATGATGAGGTAAAACACACATGATCACAGAGCTTTATGCAGACCTAATGGCCACAGACCTTAAAACTTCATCTGGCCTTCAGCTTTATTCAAGAATCATCTGTAAAAAGCTCCACGCCATGTTCTTGTTTTATATACATTTGTTTATTGAGGAAAAAGATTAGTCATATACATCAAGAAAATGGAAAATGTCCTTCATTACATTTTCTTGTTTTTGTGTTTGCAGGGGGAGAGGGTGGGGGTATTGTTCTGAAGGCAAGGTTTGAAGTGATTTACAATATTCTATAAAGTAACCCCATTTATTTGGGAATCCTTTCATTGCAAAATGTATTTTCTCCATTTTAAGTATTGATAGAGCACTGTGAAACCACTGAGATATTAAAGGTGCCTTAGGAGATTTCCGAAAAAGCAAAATTTTTCATCTACCAAGTGATGTAAAAGTCAATATTTTGGGATGAAAGGGGTCCGTTAATACAGACTTTACTGGGATACCAACACACCATGGTTTTTAACAGGGTTGCATTTCCATCCATTGTTGTCATCACCGCATACATGCAAAGCAACAGACACGGCCTACCGTCTGAGTTTAGGGCAGTAAAAACATATTCACTGGAAATTGAAATCATTCCTCCATCCCACAGAAAGGTCTGGGTTTGGTGGTTACCTGACTGCGTTGCATCAGATGTAAGATCTGGTGATGGGAGGATTATGCTGCGGGCCTGTTCTTTTGGAGCTTTGCTCATTGTCTTGGTTACATTGAGAAATGACTGTTGCACACCAAGATATTTTGTATAATTCCATGCTACTACTTGTGGGAACAGTTTAACGATGGTCCTTTCCTTTCCCAACATGACTTTGCAGCAGTCCTCATACATCCATGTATGACATCTATGGAATGCCTAAATATTTTTATAAACACATTGCTTGGAAAAGCCTCCCTAGAAGAGATGAAGCTGGTGTTGCTGATAATGATCAGTTCATATTAAACCCTATGGATTAAGGATTGAATGAGTGAATGCTTCCAGCCATATAGTGCATGAACCCTCAGCACTCTGACTTATTAATAGCAGCTTCATTAGCTGTTATTAAACCTTATTACTGTTGGGGCGGCTGTGGATCACTGGGGAAGAGTCTCATCTGGCCATGCAGAGGCTGATATCATCAACCTTATCCTTTTATCTTAGAAATTAACACAAATAACGTTTTTCTTCTTCTTTGAGATTAAATGATTGTTTTTCTTGTCATTTTTTGATTCAGCCTCCTTTTGTGTTTCAGAAATTACGGACTCACTATGTCTGATGGGGAGTATGATTACCTTATCAAGTTCCTAGCGCTGGGGGACTCCGGTGTGGGAAAGACCAGCTTTCTCTACCAATACACGGATGGCCATTTCAACAACAAGTTCATCACTACAGTTGGAATAGACTTCAGAGAAAGAAGAGTGGTAACTAATCATTTTTTGAATTTCTTCATTGCTGCCTTATTAGGGGCTTAAATGCATTCCCTTTAGATCAGGCAATACTTGTTGGACAATAGACTACTGAAGGATGCTCTGCGATAGGAGGTATGACTAATGTAGGGTAAATAGCAGGCAACACCCTCCTCAGATTAAACACTTCAAACCATTGGCAAACAGCTAAGTCTTATCCATGTTTACAGTAGCCATCCTTCAGTGCTGCTAACCTAAAGCTCCTGAAGTAGATCCTGTTTTTCTTTCATTTATTTAGCGGAAAAATCACTCTTTGATCTGTCAAAATGGATTTTAAATATTTATTAATACAGTATCTAATCGAAAACATAAGTTATGATGAAGTAAATAATCTACTAATAATTGCAATGTGAACACAGAAGTGTATTTTGTTTCAAGATTTAGCAGTTACTTCTGTTTTTTTTTTTTTTAAAGAAAAGAATAAAACTGCAGGAAACTATAATTACACAGTAGCATTAATGGCTTATTTGGGGTAATTTCTTTACATTTTTTTATTAGGCACTGCTAATTTTAACTGAGAATTTGACATCCTAATGTTGAGTGGCAGAATAAAATTCAATGGGTAAAAGATGGGAGTCATTTTTAAAATGAAAATGTTCAATTGACTTTGAGTTGTACCGCAAGGATTAACTTTTAACTCAAATACAACCAGTAAATGATTTTTCATGGTTAGAGCCTCGCTAAGGTGTTTTTACAATGCAAAAATGGCATAATTGACACCATGTATAGGTATAGATGGTGGTGGTTGCGTCATGCTGTGGGAGTGATTTTTTTTTTTTTTTTTTTTTTTTTTGGAAGCTGAATCAACCATAAAAGATGGTAAAAAGAGCTGTTTTTTTTTGTTTTTTTACAACTTAAACCTTTATCCTTTTTAAAGACCCGAAAATCAATAACGTTTGGGCTTATCGATACCACTATCGAGTCTTTTTTTTTTTTTTTTTTTCGCGGGGGAAGCTGCTAAGTGTTGATGGAAAGATGGATGAAGCAAAATGTAGGGCAGCACTAAAATAAAAAACAATGTTCTAGCTGAGGTAACGCTATGCAGCAAAGTTGGTGGGATCTGAACCCAAAATTAAGAAACGATATTGGAGCACAACCAAATCTTAGAAACAAGCTGTTTTTGCAGCCATGGGCAAATTTTGGCAGGTTATTTTTATTTTTTTTCAGGATACACTTCATTCAGATTTACAATGGTTTTAAATATCTATTTGAACTGTTGTCTCTGTTTCCATCAGATCTACAATTCAACCGGTCCAGATGGAACTACAGGCAGGGGACAGAAAATCCACCTGCAGCTTTGGGACACTGCAGGACAAGAGAGGTTAGTTATCCATATTCTAGGATTGGATTTAATCCCTACTGACATTATTCACTTTCCTAGATAAATATCTGTTTCACCGTTCTGACCACCTGCAGGTTCCGAAGTTTGACCACAGCTTTTTTCCGAGATGCCATGGGTTTCCTCCTCCTGTTTGATCTCACCAATGAGCAAAGTTTCCTCAACGTCAGAAACTGGATGAGTGAGTCCTGAAGGGTCCGGCTGAAACTGCTACTGAGGCAGAACCTGAGCACATTTACTTACATTTGATTTATTTTATCTGATTCATATGAGCTGAAACAAGGATGATGTCAGACCCCTAAATAATGTGATCATCTTCACTGATGAACATCTTGTTTAGAATTAGTGTTATGAGCTTCATGTGTATGAGTCATGGTTGTTAATCAAAGCTGGCTGTTTCCCTCAGGTCAGTTACAGATTCACGCATATTGTGAAAATCCTGATGTGGTTTTGTGTGGAAACAAATGTGACCTGAGTGACCAGAGAGCCGTGAGCCAAGAGGAGGCTCGAGAACTGGCGGAGAAATACGGGTGCGTATGCCTGGTTTCTGATCCGTCTGTGCATAAACCTCTCCCTCAAAAGTTTGCTAAGAAGGCAGTGGCTGCAGTGTTTGCTTAACGCTGCTGTCCAGGCTGAAGGACCCAGCTGGTCCTCCTCGAAAAGCAAATATTTGCCTACATGTGAAAGATATCCTGGTCTCACAAAATTAGACACACCTTTACTGAAGGTAATCTAGACAGTAGTTCATAAAATCTGTACTTTGAAGCTTTCTTGCCCTGGCATGATACTGCCACCACCATGTTTAACAGCAGGGATATTAGATTTCTAACAAATGTGTAATATTATAAAGATCCGTTTAGCTCCCGTCTGGACAGAGCCATACCTCTCTCGTGTTTTTGTCTATAAAGCATGTTTTTTGTTTTTTTTTAGCAAAACGCAGGCAGGAAATTTTTATGGCTTTGATTTAGTCCTGTCCTCACCCTGTTTGCTGTCCCTCATAAGGGGGCTTTTAAGGTGGCTATCTAATTTGAAAAGGAGAAAATTTGCACTTCACTCGTACGTAAGATTTGAATCAGTTTTAAAGCTGCTGTGCCTCCTTACACAGAATCACATACTTTGAGACCAGCGCTGCAAGCGGCCAGAATGTCAGCGAGGCTGTGGACGTCCTGCTGGATCTGATTATGAAGAGGATGGAGAGGTGTGTCGATAAGTCCTGGATACCAGATGGGACCGTCCGTGCTAACGGACCTTCCAACCTGGACCTCTCTGAGGGCTCTGATAGAGGCAAATGTGCTTGTTAGAAAGAATATTTTGTTGCACACATTTTCATTTCTATAACAGGTGGGGGAGAAAAGGAAGATGCCCAAGCAAAACACAGTGGGAGTTTTATTACATTTTGTATTGAGTAAAACTTTATCATCTTCTTCAACAGTATATATATATGCCACTTTACCCCACAATTCTGAGTATTACTTGTTCACTGTCACTGACTTGCTGAGCAGTTTACCAGCTAAGTTGGTGCTCTTTGTTCTGAATACATTAATATTATTGTGATTTTTGGGGTATTTATTTTCCTTATGGTTCCTAATGAACAGCTCCAGTTTCCACATTGAGTTAAAGATATTGATCCTCGATTCAAATAATAAAAGAACACTGAGTCTGTTTGTTACATGTGCTATTATGTTATCAGGAATGCTCAATTGCTGTGTAAACATTTTAATGAATGTACTTTAGGTCACCAATGTTGTTACTGATACTTTAAGTGCCTCAATGAATACTGCAATCTTACAGGATCCTGCCAGAGAAAATGTAGCTCTTCTTGGTGGACAGTAAACATGTGATAGTTTCTTTAGTCTGTACTATGATTTGAGTGCAGTTTTTGCCAACAGCATAAAGAAAAATGATGTAAACATTTTAGATGAGATGTGGGGTATCTAAGGAAAAACAATCAGGAAACCAGAGTTCAAGGACTACTTTTTGCCATCATTAATTCTTATATAGAAACTAGATAATAGGCCCTTTTTTATCTTGGCCACAAAAAAAACACACAATTTGACAAATTTCATCTAGAACTAAAATAAAATTTCTGATAAAATGTGCAGAATAAACGAATAAACAAACCGAAAAAAGACCTTTTTCAATTTGAGATCCGTTCTCTTATCTAGAAGATACAGGTTTAATAACCCCTCTACAAAAAAAAAAAAATGTAAACACTTGGATTTAAAAAGTAAATGTAAGCCAAACTTTAAAATGCATATGATATATTACTAAAACCAAGTGACTGGGTGGCACTATTTGTCTTGAGCTGTTGAGATGTGAAACTTCTACTGAAATTCGTTATTGTTCTATATACTCTTCACAGAGTGTATACTGTATACCAAGTGCCAAATTAATAAAATCTTATTTTTTTCTGTAATGGGAATAAGTTGATATTTTCTGGGTTGATGTAGCAGGTTGTTCCTATAGAACAGATAAGCTGAGCTTGTTCTGTTGGCACATTTTATGAATAAGCGAATCAGAATATTAGCTGGAAATGAATTCATCAGACCTGAAGACCTCCTGTTTGTTGAGCTATTGCTTTTCTATAAATCTTAAACACTGGAATGATAATTTTTATAGTTTTTCCACTCTTTACTTTTGTGTTACACTTTATTTTGTATGTTTAAAGGTAGACAGTTTTAGACTATATTGTATTCTTCCTCTGAATTTCTAAGCACAGATTTAAATATTGGACATTCTTCCTCTCTAAGTGGGTTTAATCATATTATTAGGATGTATCAGGCTGTCACATGTGCCTTTGCTCTTATTAAAATGTGTATATTAAGAATAAAACAGTTGTATTTATGTATCATCTCGAGTCAGTGTCTTTATTCAATTTATTCTGGTTTTAAAAAAGCATTAGACAAAAGGAGGACATCAGGGCACTGATAATTTGACAGTATGGAAGAGAAAAGCACACCCTAGAGTTAAGGTACCCCTATGAGATGATTGCAATGTAATAAATGAGGCTGTTCGTAATAAAGTGGGAATAAGAGCTACCAAATAGCTATGTCAGGTAACAATTAAAATGTTTTAATGTTAAGAGTTTAAACGGTTAAAAAAATCCTATAACATTTGGTGAGCGGGAAAATTATAAATTTTGGTCGAAATAACGACAGAAGAAGCTGTAATCATACTAGCGTTGATATCTCGCCTGTATTTCCGATAAAGTCCTGCAGGGGGCCTCATGTCAGCTTTACCTTTCGAGCCGCTTTCCTTTTGATCACACGAAGAAGAATCCGACGAAGTGGTTGAGTTTTTCTTTAAAGGTATTTAACACGATTTTTACAAGTGTCACGGTGCAATTTTCGGAAGTCGTCGTGATTATTATGTATAAGAGGTTAAACTCAGCAATTGTTTGAAGTTACAAGCTGATATATCGGCTTGTCATTTTGAATGGTTGTTAGCCTAGCTAGCAAGACCGAGCTGAAGTTGGTTTCCTGTTTCTATGGACAGCTAAAGGGCAGTTCCCTCTATTTTAACTACCTACAGCATCTCTTACTCTAGTTTTAGAACTAAAACAGTAAGACCTTGCTAACTAGGAAATAACCTAGACTAGAGTGGAATATTTTAAATCTCTGTTTAGCTTTTTGAAATCTTTATTTGTATTGTAAAATAATTATCATCTTTTTACAGCTCTGTTTACATCGCATAGGTCCAAACTCCCAATTATATCACTCTAAAATTATAAGTGTTTTATCAGAGGAAAATAATATATATTCTCTAATATTCTAAATCGTTTTTTTCCTCTCTGAGCTTAACATCTGTAGTTGAGTTTCTCTGCAGGTAATTGAGGTTAAATATTGAATTATTGTCATCCTGAAAGTGAAACCCAGCTGATTATTTATAGTATGACGACTGTTAGTACTTTTTCTCTGTAAATATATATATATATTTTTTTTACATTGCTTCTCAGATAATGATGATACATTAACAATGTTCTTTTGAGTTTGTGTTTATATATCAAATCAATTATTTTTAAAAGCAAAAACGTATCCATATGATACAGGTACAGTGAGGAAAATAAGTATTTGAACACCCTGTTTTTTGCAAGTTCTCTCTCTTAGAAATCATAGAGGGGTCTGAAATCTTCATCGTAGGTGCATGTCCACTGTGACAGACATAATCTAAGAAAGAAATACAAGAATCACAATGTATGATTTTTTTTTTTTTTACTATTTTATTGATACAGCTATAAAATAGTATTTAAACACCTGAGAAAATCTATGTTGATGTTTTGTACAGTAGTCCTTGTTTGCAATTACAGAGGTCAAATGTTTCTTGTAGTTTTTTCACCAGGTTTGCAGACACTGCAGGAGGGAGTTTGTCCCACTCCTCCACACAGGTCTTCTCTAGATCAGTCAGGTTTCTGGGCTGTTGCTGAGAAAAATGCAGGGGGTTTGAACTTCCTTCAAAGATTCTCTATTGGGTTTAGGTCTGGAGACTGGCTAGGCCACACCAGAACCTTGATATGCTCCTTCCAGAGTGACTCTTTGATTATCCTGGCTGTGTGCTTTGGGTCATTGCCATGTTGGAAGACCCAGCCTAGACCTATTCTCAATGCTCTAAATGAGGGAAGGAGAGTGTTTCCCAAAATGTGCCCCGGTCATTCTCTCATTAATAAGTGCAGTCAAGTTTTGCTAATTAGACCCAAGCTGACACTTTCAATGACTATGAATTTCTGCTTTTGAATTCAGACAAAATAGCACTTACCGGTATTGTCTTTAGACCAGAGTCTTTGACCAGAGTCGATCATCAAAACAAACTTTTGTTTCATTTTTTATCTTGAGTTTCCTTTTAAAGGGGTATATTATACAGACAAGACCCAAAACCATTTGATCGTGATAAAATAAGGGTTTTTACAATAAGTGTCCATTCAGATTTGATAGCTTTAATAGAACTCAAGCGCCAGGTGTGATTAGCAAATATAAATAGAAGGGGCGCCATCTGCTGGAAAAGTTGTGGTTCTACCAGAAAGCCACACCATGACAATATGCAGCAGCATAATAAAGCCTGTCCTGCTGCAGTGCCTTGTGGAAAAGCAACAGCTTGGCATGGTCGGAGACTAACTATTGTTAATTAAATAAACCTATCTAAAGCAATTCTAAGTTCTAGTGCACCCTCTCCACAGCCTCATTTGAGAACATCTAGGGAAACAAAAAAATCCAGTTTCTAATAAACGCAAACGGGAACACAGCATCAAGGTAAATATTTTAATGACACGTTTTTAAATGTAATAGATTAAAACCTTTACAATAGAATGAACACAATTACACAAAACAAATTACTCCCTATTTAAGTGTATTGCTGATGAGAACCTAAATTGAATTAAATGACGTAAACCATTCTCCTTGTTTACCCACTGTGAACATGCATGGTATTCTAACCCCAGTCTAACCCCAGTGTTATAATATTCACAAAGGGCTTTATTTACTAACAAAATGAGCAAACAAAGCATAAAACACAGAAGTACACCCCAAAATTGTATGCAACCAAAGTGCGTTCATGGAGTATAAATTTAAACAATGTCAAATATAATCTGACTGTGCTCCTTTAAATCCCATATTAAACAGGTTTCTACAATTTTCATCCTTCATCAAATTTAGAAAATATCTTGTCTGTGGGTAATGCTGAGAAACTAGTTCATGCTTTTGTTATTCAAGGCTGGAATATTCTACAAAACGTAATAAAAAGCCTTCACCAGAGTTAATATGAAAACTTAGCAGTTTACTGTTAACTGCACTTTTCCAAGGTTGAATATTTGGACCTTATCTCCTTCCTCTGCATGGAATAGATCAGACAGAAACAGGCTGTATCTCCGGGAAGCAATTACTTTTTCTTATGTACCGCCCTCCTTAATTTCTCCTTAACACTTCCCCTCTGTCCCCTCTGAAGGCAGCAGATGGTTTGCCAGAATCTCTTTGAGGTCGACTAGTACTCTATCATCATGGCCGTATCAAACTCTCCAAAGCCTGAGTTTTGCAATCGTCAGGTAGCAGCACTCTTGGATTCACAGTATGTTTGCTTCCTATGGAGTCTCAGAAGCCTACCAGGATCAATAGAACTCCTTCTTCAGCTTGACAGCATATCTTACTGCCTGTGTCTAACACAGAGTTTAGGGGTTGCCCCCATGATAAGCTCCACAAGCCTTACGGCCACAGCTACGGGCAGCTGCATGAACTACAGTGACAGAGAACATGGTCCATTCAGATTTGATGTCTGGCTTTCTCTTCTTCCACCGTTTCCAAATTGCCACCAGAGGGTGATTGGGGAATAGATCCATCCCTCTCTTTACCCGAGTGCCCAAGAAATACAGCCAGAGGTAAAATAAAAAAAAATGAGACAGTAACGTGATGCCAAGTCCATTAATGAGCACCCCTATGTTTAAACGTTATGGACAACCTGTGAATTGCACACAAGTTCTGTACATCACGGCTGGGGGTCATTTCCTTCTCATCACACCCCAGCAGTTATTACTGTAATTGCCCACATTAGCGTATAAGTCCTCATTAGTCATTAAATTTAAGGGAGGTCTGGACAGTACTCCTGTCCAGACCTTCCTTAAGCCTTTGATTTCTGGGATCTCCCCAGAGGCTATGTTGTTGGAGACTGGTTGGCTCCAGACTCAGCACTTTTGAAAATGTGTAAACCATTTCCTAAAGCCATATCAGTCTCATGTGAATTAGAGAAAATCCTGCTTAACTTCAGCCCCCAAATTCTTAATTTTAAGATTTAATTGATGGTTTATGATGTATAATTATATCAACACCAAAACTAAGAATTCAAATGTAATAAACCTTTAACCAAAGTGATATCATTGGACCCGAAAGAGCTGTCCTTTTATTAGATAATGCCTGGTTTTAGAGTCTTGTCTTAATGTGCTATCAAATTTGAAACCAAAGCTTCCTCTGGAAAGGTGCATTTATATCTAAATAGCTTGGAATTTTTTTTAGATAGAATAAAAAATGCATTTTGATTTATTTTTTTTCAGCAAAGTTTCATGTTCCAAATGATCACAGTGATACTTTGTTGGTTCATCTGTAGAAGTTCACACCTACCAAGGTAGATGTTATGAAAGATGATGTATATTTGCTCTTCTAGGATGCCTTTCCGTTTTTGCCCCCAGTGTGGGACGAAGCTACAGCCTGACTTTAGGTTTTGTCCATCATGTGGAGAGAAGCTTCCCTGTTCTGCCGATGAAGCTGGGCTTATGAGTTCGCCTGCCTCTGTAAAAGATGAAACAACAGCCACTAGCCCTGCTTCATCCCTGATCTGTGAGTCTTTTCTTTTTCTTTAGAAATACTTTTCTGTTCTCTTTGGATGTAAAGCATTTTAGGATTCTGAATGCTTTCATTTTGCAGCCAAGGACAGTAAGTCTCCAGTTTCACCTCGTCCTGCTATAAGAAAGACCCGGAACAGCCTGCAACTGGACAAAACTGTTAAATTTGACATCCAGGGTTCAGTTCAACAAACTTTACTTTCATCACCTCCTAAAAGTAAAGAGGATGAAGGTAAATATAATTCTTAAGGCTATTAAATCACAAATAAATCAAAGAGCTGTAGCATGGCAAGAAGACAACTTTTGATCCTTAATCTAAGCGCCTTTGGTCTGTATCAACAGTTAAGACTGTTGGGAGTCAAACATTTGACTCCAAGAACCAACCAGAGGTAAAAATAACTTCAGAGGTTTTGTCATCTCCAGCTGCAAAATCTCCTCGACCAGGTAAGCAGAGAAACAATCTGTCTAGTTAATTTGTTTTATTTTTATGCATAGAGTACCTTTCTAAAGCATTCTTACCCGCCTTTAACAATTCCACATTATTTTCTATTTCAAGCAAAATCATTAATGCATGTTTTTTAGATTGACCCTGACAAATAAAGTGTAGAAGATGGATGGATGTTACAGCTATAAGCTCACCAAAACATGGCTGTCAACCTAACTGACCAGTTGGACAAAGAGAGCTTTAGGTCGTTTTCACACCTGATAGTCTGGTAGACTGTGATTGATTGGGGGACAAAAACTACAACGTTGCTACTTTTTTCATGTGGTGCGGTTTGCATTTATAATGAGCTTTGTCAAACTAAAACAGACCTTTTGATCCATCCGTTTACCGTCTTGCGCTGCACCAAGAACCACCTTAGAAAGATTGTTGGTCAACAACACAAAACTACTTCCTTGTCCGTGGAACGGAAAACATCATGGAATGACAGCAGATTTCAGCAGCGTTATTGCTATGCTGTGTTTTGGCAAGTTTGCCAGATACAGTGAGGAAAATAAGTATTTGAGCACCCTACTATTTTGCAATTTCTCTCACTGAGAGGGGTCTGAAATTGTCAACGTATATGCATGTCCACTGTGAGAAACATAATCTAAAAAGAAAAATCCAGAAATCACAATATGTTGTTTTTTTTTATCGTTTTTTTTAATCGTGTTAATACTGCATCCTTTACAGTTATTGGCGTCTACCAGAGTAGTTTTTCTTTTGCTGTGTCTGGCTGCACAAGATACTTTTTTTCAAATGGAGGGTTTTGGGGCTGCTGTGTACCTTCACTTGTCAGTGCATAATTTTAATCACAATTTTCAGATCAAGTGGCTCAAGTAGCTTGCGAAACTTCTTTTAAAAACAAATCAAAAACATATAAAACAAACTGCATTTTTTCTGTTTTAATAACTTTTAAAGATGCAATATTTTTATGCTACGTTCACACCAAACGTGAATTTAGCAGCAAAAAGCATCTACTGTTTCTATGTGAAGCTTTTACACATTATTTATTTATTTATTGATTGATTATTGATCTCACGGTGGAGAAATTTGCTTATTACATCAGCCCAAATTGTCAAAAAGAGAAGAAGAATGTGTCCACATATGACAGCCTTTTTTTAAATATTTTTTTTTAAATAGAAGGATTATTATACAGTTATTGCACACAGTATTTACATGGGTATTTATATGAGTATTAAGGTAAGACGTGCCTCAAAAGCATCTTTGATGCTCCTGAAGTGCGTCCAGTAAAGTGTGAACAGATGCATCTGATGCTTCTGCTGCTCCTGTGTTCAATGGCAGAGAGTGTCTTTGCTGTCTGTAAAAAGTAGTTTTAATATACTTTTAAGTTATAGTCCATCTCAAAACATTGTCTATGCAGTCAGTTCATCAAAATTACTGTCCTGCTTAAAATATTAATTCGGTGTCGGAGCCGCACAGGGGGTTTCAACTACGGCTGAAAGTAGATGGTAGCGTTTTTTAAGTATATGGTACAAACTGCAAGCACCAGAATAGAATTTGACATTTGAAGATAATTTAGGCATTTATAAACTGTTTCAGAAGAGTGATCATAGTGATCACTCTCCTGATGATCAGTGATCATCTGCCTGAGCAGTGCTGCACTGGAAAAACGATCTAAAAATAAGTAAAATTTTCTTAAATTAAGTTTATTTTCCCTTAATTTGAGTAGGTACATGAGATAGTTTACCAATGGAATGAGTATTTTTACTCTTAAAATAAGATCATTAGATAAAATGCACTTGAAATAAGACAATGCAGTTGTGTTTTCCTATTTTAAGAGTAATTTTTGTTGTTCCATTGGCAAAATGTCACTTTTTGCTACTCAATCCAAGAACATTTTAAGATTATTTTAAGAAAAAATTACTTATCTAGATTTGGGTTTTTTTCCAGTGTGTGTCCGTCTCCCTGCCAGCTCCCAGATCTCTTTCCGTGATTGGTTGATGAGGCGCGTCGAGCAGCAAAATTTTAATTTTTCCAGCGCCAGCATCTGCTGCTTGTTAAGCGCATCACGAGCCTCAGATGCTCAGAAGCTCATGAGGCGCTGCTTCAGCTGCTCAGATGCATCAAGATACACTGCTCCTGCTGCTGGAAATGCGCTGCATGTTAAGCATAGACTTTGCATGTTAACATTCTGCTTCTACTGCTTGACTATTGTCCGTTTTGAACGCAGGCCTACAGAGCCAGTATACTGTATAAGCCTGTAGACTATTTTCCCTAAATTTACTTTGGGTTGGAAGTTCCCGCTCTGTTCATCTAATGTGACTTCAAGTGTGTCCATGTTAAATGGGTGCAACCCGCTGATCTCTATTTTTTCAATAGAGATCAATGGTGCAACCTAGCATACAATAGAAACGTTATGTTCAAGGTGGATTTTGTGGATTCTCGGAAGCAACCAGCATCCAGTCTCTTAATATTTCTTATAAGAAAGAGTAAAGTAAAAGGTAGCGATACTTTTATAAGACACTCTGCAGTACTGCATGTGGTTCATTTAAACTAAAAATGTATTTAATCTGTCCAGTCAGGGGACAAGCCAAAGTTTCAAGTCCTGTTAAGAGGGAAGCAGAAGCATCTGATAAAACGATTGCAACGGCAGAAGCATCAAAGGTTGAGCGCGCTGCTCCTTCCAAGTCTCCTTTGAAGGGTGAGCTGCAGCAGTCACTGATCAGTTTTCATTCTATCATGAGTTAAATATGACCAGAAGTATAATTTTATCCTGCGTTATTTTTGTTTTATATGTTGTTTTCGAAGGATCATTTCAGATTGGGGCAAAATAAAAGGTGGTATACTGAGAGCTGAAAAGGATATAAAAGGATTAACTAAATTATTAATTCTGAAATGGTGATATTGTAAAGAAAAGACTGATCAGATTAAAGATACAATAAATGATAAAAGCAAACAAATAAGTTAAACAAAATTTAAAACACAGTTAAATAAAATAAGCAAAAAGTATGTCACATTTCCATATCTAATTTAAAAAAATATATATTTATGTTCCCAGTTTTAACTATTTGTTTCTCTGACTTTTCCAATACTGCCTTTTCTGTCTCTAACAGAAAAAAAGAAAAATCAGTGAAGCTTTGATGGAGCATCCATTTACTTATTTTTCTTTGTTTCTTATTAGATGTTTTAACTTGATTAATAATGAGTCTGCTTTTGCTTGGTTTATATTTCCTTTTCCAAACTTACAAAGAATTTTGTATAAACTATAAGACGTCCAGTTTCTTTGACTCATTAACATCTATGATGATTATTGTGTTTATATATTTATGTATATGTCTATATGCTACAATAGGAGGAGGGGGTAAATCAAAGAAGGCAAAGCATGCATCGTTATTAGTGCCGCTGCAGGAAGGGGAGGAGCTAACAGACAAGGCTGGCAAGAAGTGGAAACTGGTGAAGTTAATTGGTCAGAATATGATGGAGCTCCTGTATGAAGGTGAGAGAAAGTAATGATAAAGGAAAAAAAATCTATCATAAGTTGAAATGTCACAATTTTCTTTTATCCTGAGATTTAAATGTGGTTGCAGGCAAATTAGTTTCATCCCCTTAGAAAGGGCTTTGAAAAATGGGAAAGAACATTTTCATTATGGTTACATTGCAACATTTTAAAAAAATCCAACTTCATTTTATTTGATCTATGTGGCTTGTTAAGAAATATTTTTCTAACAAAATCAGTGTTTCCTTTAAACACATTGTGCAGTTTGGTTTATTAAATGTAGAGTAAAGGTGGTCATTATAATGACTTTGTCTTTTTAGTTAACTCTTCTAGGGAGACCTTTCTTTGGTTGTTGTGATGAACTTCGGCTGGTTTGAATTAAACAAAAAAAAAGAAAAATCTAAAACATTTAAAGAAGGTTGGCCCTTTTTATCACCATGATAATACTTCAAGTATTAATTGTTGTGTTTAACTATATTTTCCTGTTTTGCTTCTGCTTTATTATCACAGCTCCTTTAGTTCTGAAGCACTTAGCACGTTTGTAGATTTTAAATAAAGCACCAGGACGTTGATATTAATGATTAAGACTAATAATTGTCTGGGGTTTCTTTCAGTTACTCGACCCACATCAAAAGAAGCGGATCACATTCTCAAACTGGTCAGTGTAATCATGATTTATGACCCTCTTTTTCATAAACTTCTTAATAAGCACACATTAAGTGAGCTGTGCTATATCCTTATTTTTGGTCTACTCTATGTTTTTTATAGTGTTTATTTTACAGAGGAATTAAACATATTTTCTCAATTTCAGGGAACTAAAGATGGGCGAATCTTCACTGAACAGAACTTTCTTCAAAGAGCGGCTAAGTCTACATCTGGTGAGGGTTCAGTATGAGTCGATAACAGATTCATTATGTTGCCCCTAATGTTTCTACCCATTTAAACAGGTTCATTCAGTATTTTACAGTTCAGCATCTGTTCAATCTTAATCTATGATCAGGCTAATAAAATGTTAGAGGGGACAGGCTCCATTTGTGATGATACACTTACCTCTGAGGCTGGTTTGTTGTTTCTGTAGTTGAAAAGTGGATCAAGCAGAACAGGATGGATTTTCTGGGGATCCCCTCCTGCATTGGGTTTGGTCTTCATGCAGACTTATACAGGTGTGGAATCAGGCTAAATATTCACCCTTTATGTCACAGAATTTCACACTGAATCTCACGTTTTGTGATTTTATTGTACATTTTAGGTTTCTGGTTTTCCCCAACATGGGATGCTCCCTGCAGTCTGTTCTAGAGGAAGAAAATGAGCCCCTCTCTGAGAGGGCTGTTCTTCAGCTCGCCTGTAGGATAGTGAGTACGGCCTTGGTGGATGAAGACAATCTGCATCCACTCAGTAAAATAATCTTGCTAAAATTTAATATGTCTGCTTGCTTTCAGCTGGATGTCCTGGAGTTTATCCACTCAAACGAGTATGTTCATGCGGACATTAACGCAGAGAACATCTACATCAAACCGGGAGAGAATTCACAGGTGAAAAAAGGCTGCTTAGTGGGAAATATGACCTTGTGTTGCCTTAGAGGGATGAAACCAAACATACATAATTTTTCAATTTATCATGTAATTTTAAAGGAGTCAGCGCCCCAAAGTCGAAACCATTTCTTGTTAAAATCAAGTGTGTTGGTGTTGGGCTTCTGTTATAATTCAGATGGTTTAAGATTATTTATTGCCAAATGTTTATTTTTTTTTTCAACATTTAATGATGTATGCAGTTATATTATGAGAAGCCTATTTCCTCTTTATATCACAATAAGTATTTTTTATGTGTCTTCATGCTGAGCTGTTTGTGTGTCCTCCCTGCTGTTTGTGTCTGGTGGTAGGTGTACCTGGTAGGATACTGTCATGCTGTCAGGTACTGTCCAGGAGGCCAACATGTGGAATACCGCGAAGGCAGCAGAACACCACATGAGGGCGCTGTCCCGTTCATCAGCCTGGATGCACACAATGGAGCAGGTGTGTTTGGTCCCCCCCAACCTTCCTTTATGGTTTAGAAAAATCTTTACATATATAGAGAAAAGATTGAACAATCAAATTATTACTGTTTTTGTAACTTCACATTAATTTGTAAAAGGTTGATTCTCTCTTTCTTGTGTCCTGTGCTTTTTTTGCCTTTTCTTGTGCCTCTCTATCTCCCTTTACTTTCATCTTTCCTTCCATCAGTCCCTCCGTCCTTCCTCACTTTATTTCCTTAATTTCTTCCTTCACTGCTTTCACGTTTGCTTCTTTCCTTTTTCTCCTTGCATCCAACTTTTTTTCGCCTTTGTCTCCTTTCTTCCTGCACCTTTTTGTCATTATTCCTTTTTTTTGTCTCTTAACTATTTCCTTTTCTGTCTTTAAATCTTGACTCCATCTGCTATCCTTACTTTCATCCTTCCTTTATATTTATCTTTCCTTCATTCCTGCTGTTTTTATTTGCTGATGCAGTTATTAACACCTCAATTGTATTTTACAATGACACCTTCCTTTTGTTAATCCGATTTCTTTTTTCTTTCTTGCGGTGTTTCCACCTAGTATTCCTTACCCCCCGGTCCTTCCTTCATTACTTTTCTGCATTATTCATGCCCTCTTCTTTTTTCATTTCTTAAACCCTTGCCCCCTCGCTTCCGTGCTTTCTTTCTTTATCCCTCCTTTATGTATTTTCTTCATCTTGCCATCCCTCCTGACCTTACCTAAACATACGTTGCTCAGGTGAAAATACCTCATGTTCGGCATTTCAAAGATGCCAGCATTCAGTTTCCTGCCGGTCATTAGAAGGATGAATTCCTTTTTATATTGCTCCATGGTACTGCACCACCTCACAAGAAAAAAAGGGAGAAACATAAATACTGATCCAAAAATCATTGCTATAACCTTTACTTAGTGCCATATCTGAAAAAGTTAATCTGTATTAGAGGTAGGTTAATAAAGAGATGTAATACTGATCTCTCTTTATATATTCCTTGGCTGATTCTGAATCGGCCAAGCAATAGCTCCTGCCTTCTTTTCCTGACTTGAATAAACATTAGGAATGCTGATGGATATGAAAGGGACTCTAGTCAGCCTTCAGCCTCATGGATGTCATCATGAGATAGGAACAGAAAAAGTTACACCAATGCAACAAATGACAGAAACTCTCGATTATAGAATTCAAAACATGGAAGGGTGAACATTAGTATGTGTCACACAGAGTACACATGAGGCATCCTGCTTCCTTACTGCAAGTACTATTCAGACAGCACTTATATGGCGGCTCCTGTTGGGTTTCTCTTTTGGCTTAATTTTCCTTAGCAATTTCCACAACTTGATTCCAGCTCTTATTGTATCTAACATTGTTTATAATATACAATTTCTTATCCTGTAGAAAGAACTCTTTAGCGCTACTCTCAAATAGGGGTGAAGAAAAAAATCGATTTGAGCACAAATCGCGTTTCTAACATTTAAAGATTCGGAATCGATTCTCATTTTCTTTTTTTTTGTGGGTTCGGATGTGCCTTATCAGGCACCGTAGTGTTTGGCGAAACCAGTGAGCAGCGTGAGCTATGAACAGGCATGCAAGCGTCAGCCTAGCAGGCTACAGAGTGGCGTGTAGTGTTGTGTGAGCTATTGTGTTTGTTGCCGCTAAAGTATGAAGGACAAAGAAAAAGAAATTCAACCGCCTCCACGGTCTTTAAAAGCAACCATTGGGAAACACTTTGGATTTTACCTTCAACATTGTAAGAAAGGGCTTGAAATGACTCATGCGATTTGCAGATATTGCAACGGTAAATTTAAGTATTTCGGGAGTACTTCAAATCCTCGTTCTCATCTCGAAAGACATCACCCAGAGTTGTGGTAGAATTTACCCTTCGGTGTTTACATTATTGCAATAAGTAAAAAAATATTTAATCGTTTCTGAATCGAATCGTTTGGATTTAAAAGAATATGGAAAAAATAGAATTGTGACCCCAAGAATCGATTCTAAATCGAATTGTGGGAATCCCAAAGATTCACAGCCCTACTATCAAACTCTTTGTGCTTTCCACTTCATATCCTCTTTGTTCTTCTGACATAAATGTGAAAATAGTGTGAGGAAGAGCTGTATTATTTAATTGATGACTGAAACATAGTTTTATGATTTGATCATGTTACATAAAAAAAACGTTAATAGCTATGTTTAACTCCTCCTGACCAGTAAGTGGCGCACTCACTGTCCCCTGACAAGTTTTATACTGTTTGCTTGCTTAAGTCTGCACCAACTCTCAAAGCTCTCTTATTGTTTATCCTCGCTTTGCCTTTATTTAAGCTGTATGGAGGATACGTTGGGTAATGCTACTGTTAAATGTTTTCTCCTGTACAATAATCATTGTAATAAGAAGCTGTTTGGTGCACTGGTGACATCTGTTGAATTTCTTTAGTGTTTTTGTTTTAGTTTATATAGTTAAACCCAGATAGAGGCTTTCTTTCTTTTTTTGGCCCACTGGAATATTAATACACCACGGCCAGATTTATTTTTCTTCCTCCTGCCTGGTGCCCACACTCCATCTGGCCATTTGGCAGACATAATCACATTGATGTTGTTTTCCTCTTGCTAATACAATATTCATGTTCTGCAGACTCTTTAATGCAACAACCAAACAAACAGGATGATCTCTGCGCCTGTGGCATGCCGCGTTTTGTGTGTATATGAAGGTAAAATGTGAACGTTGTTTATTTTTTTTATTTTTTTTCAGCCCCGTCTCGTCGCAGTGACTTGCAGTCTCTGGGTTACTGCATGCTAATGTGGCACACAGGAACACTGCCATGGTCCGAACTGACCCAGCCGGAGCAGGTGGCTGCCCAGAAACGGCGGTAATGAGAGAAAATCCCCATCTCACCTTTATCCTAACTTCAGAGGACTAGAACTCTAAAGTTTGTGTTTTTCAGGTATATGGATGATGTGAAAGCCCTGCTGAGCCACTGCTTTGGGACAAAAACAGTTTCATGTGAGTTAGAACATGTTTTTCCATCACTTCCAGCTGTGGTGGCCCACTGCTTGGTAATATCCATTGTTATGTGTTTTGTATAGCTGCATTTCAGGCCTTCCTAACAGCAGTGATGGCTCTGCAGTACACAGAGCAACCCAGCTACTCAGAGCTCCAAGCTGGACTCAGTGCTGCCTTACAGCAGCTTGGGGGGTCAGTGGAGCAGCCTCTACATATGTCCATATGTAAGTAACTAAACCTGATGCTGGTTCTGCCAAACTCTGTGATATCAGGCGTCTCTCTCTGCCGTTATATTCCCTCAAAACTAAGAGTTGAAGTGTTTGTTTGTGGGTTTTAATGTTATTCAGTTCAAGATGGCATCGATTGATTTTATGAAATAGACCAACATCAAGTAGTGCTTCACTGTGGAATGGAAGGATACGCTTTATTTTCACATTTTTATACAAATATATGTGTCTTTTTTTATTTGTTTGACTCTGAAGTCCTAAAAATCTGTGCAAAAAAAGTGACCTAATTAGTGGACAGAGTCATCTGTGTGTGATTGAATGTGGATATTAAAGCAGCTGTTCTGGGAAAGCCTCAGTTAGAGAACATAAGTGAACAAAAACAAACAAACTTTAGGCCAATAAAATCATTAGTGATGTGTTTTAACAGGGAAAGCAGGTATAGAGCTGCACAGCATATTCAGTCTTTGTCATCTTGCATTTTCAGTGTTGGGAATTCTATAATTGCAACTGACTTCCTGGAAATGTCTAGGGACGCTTAATGGAGGGGTAGTGTTAGGAAGACGGGGGCCCCAAAAGAAGAAGATATCAATGTCTTGACCTTGTTCTAACCCTTTTTGACACTTGACACATATTATATTTTTTGTGTTTTAGCCTTTATTTAAAATAAAGTTTGTGAAAAACAAACAGAAATCACTGCATATCACCTTAAGGAAAAGCTTGGACTGCTTTGAATGTCAGCTAGTTGTTCAGATTAATTCATCCAGACTTTAAAAAAGTAAATTACCAGGCTGTCAGACAGATTTGTGTTATCTTCAGAATTTAAGTGGATGTTTTATCTTAGATTTGACCTAAAACTGCATTTTATCATTTAAATTTCTGTTTCCTTCTCTTCCCAGAAATCAAACCACAAGATGAGAATGGCGACGTTTTACTTGGTTTTAATGGCTAGAATTGACTTCTTTGTGCACTGATGTATTTTTGGTTCAACGTTTACTAATCCGCTGTAGTTCTAAGTGTTGGAGGGTCAACATTTCATGCATAAAGGATTTCAGTGAGATTCCTAACAGAAATGCACTGTTTTTTCATGGTTTTAAAGTCAGGGATATGTTCACATTGTGTTTCTAATGTAACATTATTCTAATGTTTGTAAGATTGATTAGGTTACTTATTTTAAATCTTTCTGAAGTTTAATAAAGGATAAGATTTTCTACTTTTCTTTCATTGTTTCACATTTCTGCTGAAATTAAACAATAAGGGGAACTGGTTGGGGCAGAAAATGTAAATTTAGTTTAAAATATTGGCTTTTATCTTCCTGACCATACTTAAAGAACTTTGCTTCTGGTCTTTGTTTTGAGTTTGAAAAAATGTCTTGTAATCAAATTAACAGGAATTTTCTTGGGTAAAAATGCTTGAAGGGACGACAAAAAAAACCAACTACATTTCCTGTCAACCTGCTTTGAAAAGTAGAAATATAGGCAATTAGTTCATTAAAAAAATCTTAATTTAACACTTCTAGAAAGAAAAAGAAAAAAAACTCCTTTACAGAAGAAATGGCCCGCTATGTTCTGAATCTCATGCCTGGATGGGGTTTAGTGGGGTTCCCACTTCAGTAAAGTCATTGAGCAATTCCAAAGATGCAGGAGGTGTAAATAGAAAAGTGCAAAACAACTACCGTTCCAATTCAACAAAATATGCGGCAACTTATTTTTTCCTCTAAAACGTTAGGGACCATAATCAGTATTTTCAAAAGAGCTGAAATATTTGAGTGTGTGAAACAAGCAGCTATCAGGACCCCTGCAGTTTGCTTATCTCCGTGGAGTTGGAGATGCCATCATACACCTGCCTTAACAAACCCACTGTCATTTAGACAATGGCAGACAGCTCTGTGAGGACCATGTTCTCTGATTTCTCCAGTACAATTAATACAATTCAACCTGACTTACTTTGTGAGAAACTTCACAAGACTCAGGTGGAGGCAGCAACAGTTGCCTGGTTCAAAGACTACCTGACAAACAACAGTTTGTTAAACTGAAGGGTTAGCTGTCTAATCAAATTGTCAGCAGCACAGGAACACCACAGTGGAGAAAATTCTCACCATTCCTTTTTACTCTGTACGCGTCTGACTTCCAGTACCAGACAGTCATGTCATCTGCAGAAATACTCCAATGACTGCAGTCACTGGGTGCATCAGAAATGGACAAAAAGCTGAGCACAGAGAGCTGGTGAACCGCTTTGTGGCATGGTGTGAAATCAGTCATCTGTTCCTAAATCAACAAAACAAGGGAGATGATTGTAGATTTCAGAAGAAAAAGAATCAAGTTGAAACCTATTATCATGGGGGAAGAAGTGGAGGTGTTCTGTTTTGGAGAGGGTGATAGTTTCTTCCATCATCTGCTGGAGTAACAGTAATAGAGCTTATGGCTTAACAAAAGATCAACAAGCCAATTAAGGAGGCCTGATCTGTTCTAGGAACTCCTCTAGAACCTCTGGAGATTATTTCACAAAGAATAATTCTGCATAAAGTGAAGAACATTATGGAAAACAACGAGCATCCTCTTTAGAAGATTTTTAAACAACAGAGTGTCTTTAGTCAGAGGCTTCTCCAGATCTGGTGCAAGACAGACCACTACAGAAGATCCTTCCTGCCCACAGCTATAAACACCTAAAACATCTGTTAAAAAAATTATTTATGAGCAACATTTAACTTCCCTTTGGGATTAATAAAGTATTTTTTTTTTATTTAGTTAAATTTGAAAAGACAAAAATCAGTGTTATTGGTCAAAGCAGGTCTAAAACATTCCAATGTCATAATAAATCCAGTAGAAATATTTTCAACACAATAAATGACAACCCAAAGGGTGAGTTGGTTTTAAAGAAACTTTTATAAAGTTCGAACATTTCTGAACATAAACCTTTTGAACAGTTCAGGACATATACAATTCTTATTATGAAACAGTAAATATCTCTCATTGTGCACACTCCTTAAAGTGAATCAGAAAATAAACACTGCCATCAACCACTGGTGGCGTTTAAAACCTTTAAAACATCTCTTATGTCACTTGAGGCACTTTCTGATGAAACAGGTAAAAGCACAACAATAAAAGACCACAGAGCCCCCATGAGGCAGTCTTTTTTTTATAGGAACACAGTGGCTTTCTTGGAGCAGAGCCTAGCTTACACACTTAAACCGATCAGTTAAGCTTCGTTATTATACAGACATGCTGGCAGCATGAGACGGCTACACATGCAGGTTTAAATATAGTTGCAAACTGCAGATGGTTGTCATCTTTGCAAACGCACGACCCAGAATGAGTTGTTAACTCCTGAATGTTCGCTGATAAGAGAACGTGTTCATTCAGCGTCAGCGCTGAGAGGGATGTTGAAGGAAATGATTGTTTTCAGGGAGGATTTCTGGTCTGCAGATAAACATCACATGTTTGTAGCCTGTCCTCTGGTAATGAAAGAGCATCAGGCTGATTATATCCACTGGTGCTGTCTGAATACCTTTAAATGCTTCTGTGTAGATTGATAAACAAAAACTTAAAATCATTTCAAAATAATTTCTTATATAAAATTAATGAACAAGCGCAAAAAAAATTAAAACAGAAGGCCGCTTTGATCTGTTCCTGAAATGTTTTTGGGACGCTGAATCCATCACAGGATGGGAGAAGTATAGGAAACATGTAAACTGCTGTTCAGTGCCACTTTAACACAGACAGCAGGATGCAGTGAGTGCAGGAGCTCACAGGTTCAGTTTTCCTGGTAAACAAGGCAACAAACAAGCGCAAACTCCACCATGACAGGCAGAGGTTGTTTGTCTGAGTGTTGAGTGGAACATCCTCAAGGCCTCCATTTCTGCAGAGCGAGAGGGAGCGCGATGGCACTGGTATGTCAGGACGGAACAAATGGATTGACTGTGGCTCCACACAGTCAAAAAAAAGCAAAAAAAAAAAAAAAACAGCAGTGGCTGACTAGCTGGGCGTGGAAGGACTCCCGTGCTGATCATGAGAGCTTTCCTCCTCTGAAAGATAAAACAGATTAATAAGCTCTTACAGCTAGTACCAGCTTCCTCCTCTGTTTACTAACAGCCTTCTTCTCTCACCATGAGGTCCATCTCCATTTTCGCCGTCTTGCTTATGTTTTTCCTCCAGAATTTCCACTTGGCCAAAATCTTGCACGTCTGAAACACTCGACTCCTTGAAAAATGAAGAAAAAATATTTACATGAAAGCAGTCAGAGCAACATGAGGGCGACCCTGAGGGCTCTGTTTACCTGTGATTCTGAGAAACAGTCTTCATCGGAGTTCCTAAATCCTTCTGGAGCCTCCATAAGGAACTCCAAGCCGTCTGCTTCCTCTTCATCACTGTAATGACCAAAAAAAATGATGCAACTAAAGCAGACTGTGCAGTCAGAAAGAATTTACCTCCTTACAGATTTGTTTGTATTTTGCTTTTTCTAGGATCAAATTAAACTGAAAATCAAACAAAATGTATTTTTCAAATTATCATAACATTTATAACTGACAACTGAGGTCTGTACCACTAAGTGGGACTGCTGGTTTAGTGAGACAACTTCAGATTTAACCCAGTCTTTCCTGTACCTCAAAGCTGCGATCACTCTTAGCGAGGCTTGTCACCATGGTAACACGCCTGTCAATGGCAAAGCTGCTCCGGGGCAGGCTAGCTTTCAGGATTGATCTGAATCCTAGAAAATGCTCCCCCTCCAGCCAATCAGCTCTTATGGAGACAATTACGTTCCCTTTCACTGAAGACTCAATTTCATTCAGAGGGAAAAAGAACTTAAATAAAACAACATCGAAATAAAGGAACTTAAAATCCAAAAAGCTAAAAAAAAAAAGTTAAAACTAATATGTCATTGACAAATTAAATTGTTTTTAATTTATTTATTTTTCCTCCTTTTTGACATACCAACCATTTACTATTCTGTATTTGTTTTCTGTATAATGTCCTCATAAAGCCCTGGCATTCACTTTTTTTTGTATAATTGATATATGAAGCTAATAAAATCAGAGTGCAAATTGTAAGAAGATCCTTTGGATCACTATTACAGTATGACTGATACAGGTTTTCAGGGGCCGGACTGGCATATATGCCAGATCCTAGAAGAGTGTGTTGGCTCTGTGACCCACAGAAGTTCGGCCCACACTGTACCATAGACTGTATGTATGGTCATGCCATTTTACGCAAAAGTCGCAAAGTCATCTTCACTTCCAGGGGACACCCTGTTAATATGCAGTACATCGATTGGGATGCAGTGTGTGTTAAATGACACTAATGTGTAGCTTGCTCATTTACACAGACGGCAGTCCTTTGCTACACTATTTGGCGTCCCTTTCATGCCGCCACCATGTTTCTTTTTTATTGAGATTGTTTTTTTCTCTTCAAATTTCTCGGAGCTTTTTGTTCCTCACAGGAGAAATATGGTGCTCTTCCTTCTGATTACCATAGTGGGGAATTGATTGAAATAGTTTGAGCTCGCTTCGTGGTACTGGCCTCTGGAGCTCTGTGAAATGTTGAATCATGAATGTGAAAGAATAAGATAAACCACTTCCTCCTGCTGATACTAACCTTCCCTCAGAGCACACATTCTCCTCATCATCTTTTTCTTCTAATATTTTCTCCTGCTGGGTTTTATTTTGGTCCTCTTCACATCTTCCCTCTAGCTCTTCTTTCTCCTGCTGTTGCTGCTCCTCCTCTTCTTCCACATCTGAAAAGTTGAGAAAGTCGAAGCTTTCGAGGGCGGTCTCAACTTCCTGATTGAAACTGGCAGAAGAAGGAAAAGGCGCCTGAGGACAAATAAAGCAGAGGGTTAAAAAGTTGCAGTTAAACACAGTTTTTATAGAAAAGAGCTGCTGTGTTTAGTTTTCAGCCCACCGCTGGAGTGTCCTCTGTTTGTTTGCTTTCCTGGACTGGTAGATGTGCCTGACTTTGAGTCTCCTGGAAAGTCTCTGCAGTGATTTCCTCAATTTCAGCCTCGCTCAATCCAGCTGCGGACTCCTCACATTGCTCAGTCTGCACATCTGCAGCCAAAGTGTCCACCCTTTCCAGAAGCTCAGCTGAGGTCTCAGAGATGATGTCCTCTGACTGAACAGAAGCTCTGTCAGCAGCACCACAGTCTGAACAGGGGGCCTGCAGATGGCCGTTAGGCACTGCTTCCTGCTGAGGGAAAATATCT